ACGGCCAGAGCTTGTAATTTAGAATCTATCCTTATGGGCGATCGGATGCAAACACTGAAACTCATAAAGTAGTCAGAGCTATTTCGAGGTCGATCTGAAACTCAGCATAATACTGAACAAACGAAAAGGGCAAATTAATTTAAAGGAAGAACGGTATGTTTGCGATCACGGTTGTCAATTCTATTTAAATTTAATTGTCAGTGATCGGCCTGGCAACATGTGACCTGATGAAAAAGTTTGTTTCCACGGCGTTCCCATCGGTGAACAAAAATGCTGTTCCAATCATTCAACCGCACCACAATCAACTCAAAATAGTCAAGAATACCACGAATCCTCAGAAAACCGTGTTGTAATGTATACCCAGACTGTAGGCTGCTTGAAAACCGCCATACCTGAAATTACACTAATTCTTAAAGCATATTTAGATGTAGTCTTTACAAAAACCTTATTTTTAAACGTTGTTCTATTCGTGTCATTATATTCACTACCTTTTTGTATGAAATGACAGTCCAAACATCTAAAAACGAAGTTTATTAAATTACAACCATTTTCGGGATATTGCCCTTTTCTAAAAAATCGGCATTTCGGAGCAATGCAATGCCGTCTTTCATATTTCTTTTAAGTTTTTACATCTTTCAAAGCGGTATTTGATCAACAGGCATATTGGATCCATGAACTGGTGTCGGTTAGCGAGTGATTGGCAATCATTCGTAAATTTCGACACATTTCATGAGTTAGGTCACTTACAGTATGTTGTGAAGTTGGGTTTCCCGATGTCAGCCTCTCTCATTCTTTCCTCTTTCATGCACCATTCGTATCTACAAGCCTGCCAGTCAGTCTGTTATGGACTTTGTAGTTGTGGCTGACATTGCATGGTCTGGGCGTGTTACCACCCCTTAATTAACAGCAGTCCTTCTGGGTTCATTCGACCCTGCGCTGCCTGATTTACCCGTGACTTGAGACAGTCTGGCCCAAGTTTCTTTTCTGCGTATCTACATCGCAGCTAGTTATGGACGAGGGTGCATGGAAAACTCACGGGTGATTTTCAGCCCTCTGGTTAGTGACTGTTACCTCAATAGCACAAATATTCATACACGCATTGTGAACAGCAGCGTATGGCCGCATCTTCGACCCATCCAAGCCTCCTTAGTGTCATAACAACATCTCAGCCTAGCTCATTTTCTCATCTGACAGCCACGAAACAAAAACAGGCTTCCCATCGGGGAAGGGGCGTTCGCCGATCAAATCGTGATTTTGCTGTACAGAAACTGCTGCCAATACTAGCATTATTATAGTGATCATTTTGAAAAAGGAGAATTTCCTAAAAGGTCAGAGTGGATGAAAGTCGCATAGGCGACGGATAAACATACCTTTTTGGCACGCGGGGTTGCGCTTTTGATATTTCAGCCAGTGATAAACAAACGGTCCGGTATCGTACGTAGAAAAGATGATCCATAACTCTAAACTAATTAGGGGGCTACGTGCAAATCTTCAGATAAATGAAACTGTAATTCATTTGTTGCTATATTATGCAGAAACTAGACCCCATTGCGCAAAGCAACTATTTGTCTTTCGCAACTGCAGCGCAGTTTTTATTTGTTCCGTAAGCGTCAATGGGGACATCAATCCCAATACGCATTTTACATTTGTCTGTATATATAACACATTAAAACAACCTATAAAGTTCAGTATACCACATGAAACGGATCGCAAATTGTGAATGGCATTTCAGCTAGAAAGGAATACCTAGATGAATGTGTGGCATAACCCAAAATATTCCAGTTAAACCAGGATTCCAGCTTTCGAATGGACGTCTTCCATCGACTTGCGAACCCTATCCTTGGCAAAACAACTTCTAACACGGTATGGATTTTTCCACTAGATTTTGATATTCTTACAATGCAAAATATGTTATATAGACGGCATGAAGGTTCCCTTTCTTTGAACCTGCCTAATAGCAAATTGTAACTTTGTCAAATTTTCCATTCGCAGCCAGAATACTCCAATTTGAGAAGGCGATTATAATTTTCGAATAATTGTGAATCCAATCTTACCATTTACAAAACGCAAGCCTTATAAAGCAATAAACGGGAAAGAAAACCAACTTATTTCGGAAATTTTCCTCTAATTTCTAGATAGATGACAGCTAGTTGTAAGGTTTAGGTTAAAGATGGGGTTACGGTTATGGTCAAGGCTAAGTTTGGATACTGAGGTGAGGTTGGTGTTTAAGGGATTGGGAGGTGTGGTGTTACTCCAAGGTGCACCATTGCGTCGTGACAGCCACCTGCGGCCCCTACTGTCTCCGGTCTTCTTGACTTGGTCAAGACCGGGGGCCCAAGTGAGGGAGGAGGAGAGTGCAGGAGATGCTGCGTAAGTCTACTATCATTATAAGCTAATTCTCGCACAAGTCTCTGCCCCTGCTGGCAACGGTAGGTGGAAGGACCCCAGCTGACTGTTAGTAGTCTGTGGATCAAGTCATATGGGGTTTTATCTTGACATCCGTTTGTGGCCGTTGCAGACATTACACTGCAAATGACAATTACTTCTCATGGCCTTGAAGCATTATTAAAACTGCATCGATTTTGTAATTCGCTTTTTGTTTATTTTTGATTTAACTCGCTCATTTTCGTTGTCATGCGAAAGCATACGAACTGTCTATTGGAGGGGGGTTAGAACACGGAGGGCTGCCGCTACCTCTGAAAATGGACTCCTGTACGAGTCTGAGCTCAGGACAATAAACACAGTGCTCCGGTGCTCGACTCTTCTTCTTCACTTTACAACTCCTGTGTCTAACCCAAACTGAGGATAAAAAAATATGATTCTGCTCATGTTTTCCATTAAAGTTTTTTCGAAAAATAAAGCTGTCGAATTTCAGTAGAAAAAGGCATGTTGATTGCATAGGCATTTCATACAATGTAAACTTTACAGGCGGTCTGAAAGAGGTGCATCAAAATATGCCTGAATTACCTTACAGTTTTTGTACGATATCCAATATTACAGTATCAGTTATATCTTTTCAGTGAATATCAGAATACATTTATTCGTATACGTCATCCACCAGACATTGGGCTGAAGAGTTGGATCGGTTCCTTGGCAAACAACAATCTTGCTGCGGAAAACGTTGCCCAACTATCCCCTTTTACAAATTACTGCCTTTTGCACAATAGACAGGAATTCAAACGGATTGTATTTCTGCATCAACATCCGACCTGGATATTGGCAACTGAAGAGGCCTCGCTGAGATTTTATCTCTACGACTGTTGCGACTCGCAAGGGTAGGCATTACCCATCGACCCCAGGCAACAATTCGTCGCCGTTTGATGCAACCAAAAGACACACTGCACCCATTGAAACTTCATCAGTTGTCTGTTAAATATGTTGTAGTGATGGAGACTGTAACACCGTTCAAGAAACCGGACGGAAATTGTAGACATGTCTACATGAGCCGAAACCAGCAATTCGGAGACTGGACCCAAACTCACAGCTTACGACTCATATCGGAGAAAGCGGCCGTAGCTTCGACTTCCAGGGAACAACCTTCGTAAGCCGGGGCACCTCAAGGACAGAACGCCTTACTATTGCGGCTCTGTACTCGGGTGCCAACTCCATCGACAGGCATCTATACCTTCCTGCGGCCTACAAAGTCCTACGTCAGTAAAGACGTCATTACCAGGACAATATGGTCACATGGAGCAAAAAACACCGAGCAAAGAAGTCCCTTCTACTAATTCACCCAATAGGGGAGCACAGGTGTATCATAGGATGCCCTTTACATTCACAGACAACGGCCAGAGGCCAAGAGAGCGAAAGAAAAAAATCGGTCGGCTCAAGGCCAACGAATGCTGCCGTTTTTTTAAAATTCTGGTCGATTTTTCGTACAGAACGTTTTAAAATGGAAAGCTGCCAGGCCCTCCGAGAGGTCAGCAACTCAATTCCACTGATCCGGGGAGTTCATCACATTTCTCGGTGAGTGTCTCCTTTAGGTACACCGGCACGAGGGCGCAGCAGTGGAAACAGATTGGAGAAGCATTTCCCGAGCTTTGTTTTAAAATTCTCACTGTTGCAGCGCGTCTATTCTGAAAAGCTACCTAACATAGTAACTGTGATTCAAGGGTCAGTACGCCGAAGAAAGTCCTATCGACATTTAACCATGATCATCCTTAGTTCTGTATTCCAGCCCGCATCGCTGACAGCCAGACTTTTTGTATGCCCGACCATTTTATCTTCAGGTTTCTATGATACAAATTGACAGTTTAGAGATTATCACTCGGTCTCGCCTGAACATATAAACGGAACGTCGTCAAGATAAAGATATCCACCGTATGCCCCACAGCAGGATGTGATCAGGGACGGTGACTTGCGCGGGGTTTATAGTGCCAGTGGACTTGCGCTGCGTCTACCACACTCCCTCGTTCTCCCCACCTGGACCCGGTGTCAAGACAGGGTCAAGAAAACTGGAGACGGGAGAGAGCGCAGGTGGATAGCACGGTCGAACCCGCACCTTGGGGCTCCACTCCACGCCCACTGGTCCACACAACAAATAACCAGGATTTTGACCAATAAGAACATACGTTGGAGGCCGGCACGGTCGAAGCCGCATCTAGGCGTGCCGCCAACGCCCGGCTCGGATCCCACACAGTGGGAGTGCCATAAAGGCCACATAAAGAGGGAGCCGTTGCAGCCTGACTCCCAGACCACCGGCCGGCCACTCCACACCAGCAAACACAACACTGAGCCAACTGCGAGGTCCAAGTTATCCCGTCAGTTGACAACCTTCCAAGCCACAGCTTTTAGCGCGTCAGATTGTTTATAGTGAGGAAAGTGCACTGAGCCGTCGACCTCACTCTCCCTTTCCACTCCCAGCCCCAGCCACTGTCCGAGACGGTCAGCGGACTGGAGCAGGGAATGGACGCGGTGGCTAAGGTGACCTAGTGACCATGTTTGCGCGCGCCAGATACACAACCTGGCCCCTCGTACACACACACACACAGACCAGGATTTCACACAGAACGGGGGTTGAATGGTGTATCTCTCAGAGTCTCCTCAGAGCTAGTGAAGGACTTAACGGCAAGACAGAGTATCCACTCGGGTTCTGGAATGATCTGAGGGGAAGCGGACAAAAAACAACAGTTCAGATTGGAAAAGTTTAGAGATCCGGGAAGATTATTAGAAGGAGAAAATTGGCTCTCCGGAACAGGTTTAATTAACTGCTGACAATGAAAAGCCGACCCAGCTCTTTGAAACGTCAGCAGTTAAATAAACCTGTTCCGGATAGCCAATTTTCTCCTTCTAAAAAACAACAGGCCTATTCCAACAATCTTACACATCAAAGGTATTCATTGTCCTTTTTTTCGACAATTTGTGAAGCGTGTGACGGAGGTTTCCGGTTTTGTTTGTTCCCAGACGTACCGTTGTCTAAATTTTGTCAAATGCTAATCAAGAGTGTCTCATGGAGCAGCAGCTAAGAGGGTGTATGTGGAACGAAGTTCTGTCGGCTACGATGGCCTTGAAGTTGTTTACTCTAGCGGTAACGCCCACTTCTTTTACGGAGTTTAAAAAGTTATAAGCAGTCATCTGCGGTTCTCAAGGGTCACCCTTTGCAGGTCCAACGCAAAAAATACGGAAGGATCTACCGTATGACAAGTGCATTTATTCCCGCATGTACCTCTGCGAGTTTAAAGTTTTTCCTAACATCCCCCTTCCGGTCGGGGCAATTGCGATAGCGTTTAATTTTGTTTTCCGACAGTAACGTGCATTAATTAGAGAAGCGAAACCGTTGGGAAGGATGTGCTCATTTGAAGTCCCGCGGCTGCTGACTCGAGTGCGTTTCGTATTTTGTCGGCATTCCTCCACTTCATGAATTTTTTTGCTAGGTTTGCGATTCGCATGACATTTTAACTGATCATATCTCCCAAGTTATGAGCATAAAGCAAATTACTGGCATTTGTTTACTTCAAGTTAGGACTCCATGGTAAGAAGTCTGGGAGAATGCATCGGTGAATCACAGGCCTAAAATGTCCACAAGGAGTAAAGAATTTCTCCTTCAAGTCTGAAGCATCTACGTTCTTAGGATATATCTGACTCATACCAGAAATAAATTAATTCACCAAAGTCGGCATCGGATTGCGCGTGTGTTTCACTGAAATACAAAATTTTTTCCGACTTTTAACGTACCAGATAAGACATATACACTGAGACAACACGAAATTCCATTTCCAAAGAAATTAAAGAGTTACACTTTTTGAACTGGAGTGCCTACCAGAAAACACACGGGGAATGCTAGGGGACACAATGATGAAGTGACCCTTTTCAGCTGTGTCATGCAGCGGCAGATTATCGTCACGATACATGTCTGGGCTTTCAGCTACAGTAGTTGTGCAAACTCATGAAAAGTTATTTGAAATTCAAAAGTGGGTTTTCGACTCGAAAATATTACTTAAGTTGAGTGGCACAATTAATCACCGTGCAGCATAATTCCAAAATATTCCAGCTACCTTGGAATGCTGGCTTTTGAGCAAATTCCTTTCCAGCTGTCTGCAAAAAGTAGATTATGTAAAAAAGACTACCTAGGTAGATGGACAATGTTCATTGATTTTGGGCGCCCTTATAAATCTAAGTATATTTTACTGAAAACACCATTAAAACATTCTTTACTTCAAGTATTTGGTAGATTACATTACATTACTGAAAAATAGGTATTACGTGGTTTCCAAAAACTTTCCTAATCTCCGAATGATTTTGACTCCGACTTTTCGTTACAGTTAGATCTGGGGTTCAGAAACTACAAGCTGTACATTTTTCGTGTACGGAAAATCATACATTTCTACACACTCTTAAGAGGAGACTGTTTAGAGTTCATAAAATGTAGGAGTGGATTTGATTCATTTTGTAAATTTTACAAGCAACGTTAGCTAATTCAGATAAACGATGTTTTGTGAACGGGAATTTTACTATTCCAAAAATTCTCATAATTGGAAACACTTTTAAAATAAAATTATACTTATGCTTTGAGTATACAAATTTAAAAACGACGCCAATGTCTTTTTAATTAAGTAAAATAATGAATATGTTTATACTTAATTTTCATTTAATATATTTGAATTTATAGAGGAACCTAAAATCATATTAACGAATTCACACAACTTTTGCGGTCGTTTTACAGAGTATAGTTTTTGTGGGCGGCCTGAATGTAGCGTTTTCAAAAGCCGGCATCTTAAATTTGCTGAAATTTCTTTATAATTATATCGCACGTTAACGAATTTTATAACCCTATTTAAGTAATCTTTTTGAGTTGAAAACGGATTTCAAAGTTTCGGTTAAAATTTAATGAGTTAGCACATCTCCTGTAGTATCTGTGCTGTCAAGTATTGTTTATTGTTCTGGCTCAGTATATACTTCTTGCTGCCTGTCAGCAGTTTTTCGATATCACGCGGTTATCTCGCAGTGGCTGATTAATTTTCGCGCAAATATTCATATTAAAATTCAATCTCAGCTCATAAATCTCAAATAAACTAAATTCCTTCAGGTTTGCAATTAATTTCTATAGTCAACGGCAAACACCTTGCTGCTGAGACGAAGTGGGATTTAGCTCAGTGGTTAATAGCCTAACTGTAAGCCAGATTATTAGACAATATAACTGGCAAATGATACGCTGGCATAATTGTTGTATGAAAGTACTCTTTTAAAATACGCCGTAAGCATTAAGAGACAACTGCCTTAAAATATACAGATAATGGCAACAAATGGGACTGAGATCATTAGGTGATCTGTTGTTAGTTTTCTTCAAAGGCAGTAATGCAAAATAATTTACTTTGGGAGCAGGAGAGGAGGGGGTTATTTAAAAATATGCGCCATAGAGATCTCGTTAAGTAGCTTATCGCATAAACAAGAAAAAGCTGGTTTTCTACCAGGGTTAAGGCGGCGAGACGTATTACCAACGAGTCCTCGGGGCTTGAAGCATTCTAGCGATGGTAATTCATGGTCATGCTTGGAATATGTTTATGCTATTAAGCAACTCCGAATGTTTTTTTTACATAATTGTGTAAGTCTCCTCCAGTCTCCACTAATGATTTGGCCGATTAAGTAAAAAGTGGTCCTTAAGATTAAATGCATACATTTGCAGACCTCATTTGCTGTTAAGTTTTCAGTTCACGTCTTTTTAAATGAAAGGTCAGAATTAAGTTTCAAGATCAGGCTTTTTAACTAAAAAGATCGCAAACCATAATAATCAATGGGAGAAAACTACTACAGTATCCACTGGGAAGCTCTAAAATTTTCCTGAAATGACCAGACGGGAAAGGAATGTTGCGGAATTTCTACATTGGAGGATAACCATGTTTATGAGCTAAAAGAACATCTTCAACGGGTATTAACGGTGCCAAAAGCAAATTCCGCTAGAACGAAATACACCTATACCGACTATTTGAAAAATGTAAGATGTTCAGAGATTCGTCTTCATACTCTGCCTATGATCATAAAACAGAGAAAGCTGCTCATATATTTTGCGTTGCTGCGAGTTATTTTGCATTTCTGTTTTGCAAATGATTTAAAGGGTAAGTTTAAAAACAGAAAAGATTAAAAGGAAATTGCGCTAGCGCATTCCTAACCAGTGCGTATTTTCGCCTACCATTTTGTGGCTACAATGATGCTCCATTAGACTACCATTTGATTCATGTATTGACATGAGACAATGCTTTTGTTTGACGGCGGATGTTAAAATTCAGAAGGCATATCAATCGCGTCTGCAATTGCAGCTACTGAAAAATGGACTAAAAATTTATGTTCGACGAAAGCCTCTCTGAGTTAAGAAACTATTTTGCTCTGAGAGTGGGCGGTCTTATGATTCGCAAAAGTTGGACAAGTCTTTCGACTGTACAATACGATAACTGCCCGCAAACAGTTTGTAAGGAGGATTGTAGTGGTAGGTAGAACAGTAGCACATCCTCTGGTTGCCTAACAACAAGATTAAATTAAAAAAATCACCCGACCCAATGAGACATTTTGCGTTTTCGGAATGCTCCGAGGTCACACGTGATGCCTTTTACATCATATACCGTTATTTTGATCATATGCATACATTTAGTGACTGATTTCGTAAAATGTTGGCCAAAATACTGAAATGCCTATTTGATTAGGAAGGATTACTTAAGCAAGGGTTGTAAGGATGACTACCCTGCAGCATAATGGCGTAATCTGTCAGACACGCCAGGGTGTTGCCATTTTTATGCCTGCTTTCAACAAAATATATTCAACTTTATAAAAGCATCGAAAATTAGTATAAAAACCCTGTTAATTAGGCACACATAAATGTAATGGTTTAAATTGTGATTTCATGGAAATTGGTGAATGAGATCGATTTTTAACGGTTTTCGTCGGGTGCGAACACGCATTCGAGTAGCACTCGGTGTATAGAAGTTGCTACTGGTCATAATTGTAGTCAATAAAGGTCGAAGCTCGATATTATGGATTCTTCTTGAAGACCGTCTGCTCTCAAACCGTCCAGTTGTCTGGGCCTTATTTGAACCCTACGTACCCCTACCCTTATACGACATCGACAAGACATACACACATCTAAACGACATTCCTTCTCTGCCACTGGCGTTTGAAATAGATCACAATCCCTTACACCTGACTGGCAAGTCCCGAAACACTGAACTCCCCTGCACGAATCACCCCTACAGACGATATTTGTTTCATCTCTGACTGCTATACCACAGGGTGCACTATATGTCATATCTCATGAAATTTTAGCCGAAGTCCTGAGGTGTGCCTTTAATGGGAAATGTTTACCTAGGTCTGGTCATAAGACTATCACGAAGCATAATCAAAAGGCATTTGTATCATGTAGGGATTTCGGCATTTGAAAAAGCTCTTTTCAGGCCGCTTGAAAACTATACTCGGTAAAGAAAGATCACATGTGAAGAAACATATCTGAAGCTAGTATTGTTAGCAAGTCCAGTTAAAATGAAAAATTGGACGCAAACGCTAATCTCTTCTGAAGTTGAATCGGGGAGGGCCATTTCAGAAGTAAAGCTTCAAAGCAAGGGTAAATGTGCTAATTAATGAAATGTTTGCTGAGATTTTAAAAATTCACTTTCCAATAAAAGGATTATTTAAGTACGGTTTTAATATTAATTGCCGTGCAGCGCATTTCCAAGATATTTTAGTTTTTGAGAGAATTTCTTTAGGGCTGCCTGCAAAAAGCTGCAGTCTGTAGAAGATGCCAACGTGAGTAGTGGGAATTGTTCTTATCAATTTTCGATGCCCATATGAATTTAAATTCATTTCACAAAAACGTAGACGGAAATATATATACTTTGTTCATTTAGGTGAAAATTACGCTTCGAACAAAGATATGTTTGTTTTTAGAACATTTACAATTCCTGAATAATTTTAAACTGGACTTGCTGCTACACTTTCATTATCAGTTCCCCAACGATAACTGTATATTTTCCGCGTGCGTAAACGTATACATTTCTATTCGCTGTTAAGAGGATACCGTATGTTGTTTCTAAAGTTTAACAGTGGATTTGAGCCATATTGTAAAATTTACAAGCAACAGTAGTGAGTGCAAAAACAGGATGGTTCACAAACACGCCTCCCACTGTCTTAAATAGTCTCATAATTAAATGCCTTTTAAAAAGATTTATGCCCTGCAATTAAGAGCTAAATTTAGAGAAGACACAATATTACTTCAAAAGGGTAGAAGATTAAATATTTTTGTCCATTTATTTTATCAAATACATCAAGTGTGCTAACTCATGCAATGTCAACCAAAATCCTGAAACGCCTTTTCGTTCCGAGATGATTACTTAAGTAGGAATTCAAAACTTATCATCTTGCTGCATAGTTCTGTAATAATTCGTTTATCTCGGGGTGCTGGCTTTCGAACTAACAACTGTCTGACCGCATGTTAGGCCACACTCTGTAAAAAACGACTACTTATGTAGCATGAATTTTTTCCATTAACTGTCGTTGCTTTTTAAAAATCAATTACATTTCATAAATAAAATCCCAAAAATATTTATTTACTTCTTCGCTTAATACTTTGCTAAAACGAGGGGTATAATTTGGTTCTTAAACACTTATCGGATTGTCAACTAATTTTAAACACGATCTGGCATTACACTTGCATTCAGGGTTCTCAAACTACAAACCATATATTTTCGGCGTACGAAATACCATGCACTCCTCTACGGTATTCAAAAAAGGCCATATGGGGTTCATAAATTTTGGCAGTGAATTTGAGCCAAAGTGTTAACTCTACAAGCCACACTTGTAAATGCAGAGACATGACGTTTTATGAACGGCCATCTCACGATATTAACAAATCTCACAATAAGAAACTTTTTTAAAAACGATTCGCACCCATTCTTTGGGTATAAAATTGGAAGAAGACGCAATTTTATACGCAATGAGCAAAAGAATGAATATTTATATCAATATTTTCCATAGAAAATATAATTGCATTTTAAGGGCATCGAAGATCAATGAGCGAATAGTGTGCTACAGAAGTAGTCAATTTTTACAGAGTTTGACTTTTGCATGTAGCCGGAAAGACGCACGTGCGACAGACAACACGCCGGGGTAACTGAATTATTATAGACATGGGCTGTATGATAGTAGATTTTAAAACCCTACTTATGTAATCTTCTAGAAGCGATAAAACAATTCGAGATTTCGGACAACATTTCATGAACTCGTACGGTTAATATATTTCATACAATAGATGGAAATTGACTAGACATCGTATGTTTGAAGCAGGTGAGAGAAATATTGCTGTCGCATATTGCGGAAGCATATCTGGTGTAACAGCTCATCGAATACGGCACCTGAATGGGCTCTAATTGAACTCAATTTGGCGACCATTTGTAAGTCAGTTTTTACATGTATAGCCAACGGAATTTAACTTTCTTATTAGATTTTATGAGAGCAACTGCACACAAGTATGGCTAGAGAATTAATAAGCCATGGTGCACCGTTTGCCAACAGAATCCGCCTTGGGATATCATGGAACGACAACTGAGCCAAAGCAAACCAAAACGCACTGATTGGTTCTTACAGCAGGCGTTATGAGGTGAGTAGCAACATGATATAAGAAGGTTAAGCTAGTCTTTCCGAAGAAGTAAATAAGTCGTTACGTACACATTCGACAGCAGACATCGTTTGGAGATGTCATAGAAGCCGAGCGGTTGTGCCTCAGCTGAAGAAATGTAAGCCAAAACACAGCCGAAGATCCTTACAGCACGCGTTGAATGGTAAGCTGCGACAAGAGAGAAGAATGCATAGACATCCTCCGGAAAGAAACGGACTACGGGGAGGACGGATCGAAAGACATAGGTGGCCTCATGCCATATAACGTATTAATAAAAAGGATCGCACTGGAACGACTCGGTCCACGTGGTTATATCAGCGTACTTGCCAAAACCCAAGGGCAGCTTCCTGCAACAATGCGTTGCTAAAGTAAACAAGGCTTACCGAAGTAAGTTGCGTAATTAGTTGCACACATTAGGCCTAGTGGGTTTACACAACCTATCCTTACCATTTCTGACCCGCGCTGGATTTCGGCAGCCGTCTGGGAGGACTAAACAGCCTTACCTAGGGATGGCTATGCCAACACCCTTTGGGCAGCATGGGGTTTGAAAATGTGCCACCCCCATCTTCATCTCTCTGTTTAATCTTCACTTGCCCAATCTGGCAGCCTGGGATTTGCGTTTTCTTTTAGACAATCAAAGGTTATGTCGTCCGGACTGTTTCATTCGCCTACAAACTGGACTGTTAGTAATTGGACATTATGGATCTCAGTGAGACCCGTTTAGAGTCAACAGGAGTAGCTAAGAGCTGGACGCTCAGGGGCAGAGCGATGTGAAGCCACGGCCGCCCTTGCCTTCGTGAGACGGCTGTCTTTTGTTTGTCATGAACATTGGACTGTGACTGCGCGCGAACAAGTTTGGTATCGTCATCGGCGTCTAGGACCCACTCCGACAACGTAAAGAACAAGTTCCACAAAGACCCGTACGTCATCCTTGCAACTAAACCGAAGATAGACGAAGAGATTATCCCAGATGACCGCAATGCCTGCTCCGGTACAGACAGTACTGCCGTGGGGGATTGCTTGTTGGCCCTGGAATCAGAAGCTGCGACATCAGCGGTCTTCTTATCTCGGAGGCCTGTGGAGAACCTAACCATCTACTGGCCAACGACTTCCGTTTGACGATGTAAAAGAAAGGCGATGGGGATGCGCCCTTCTTTGCACTGATGTCATCTCCTGCGCTGCTTGTTTGCCTGGAGGCATAACCAGCGTGACTCTCTCATGACTAAGGTGATTTACGTAGATGGCTGTTGGACTGATCAGTACGTTGGTATATTTAAAGTTAAACTCCAAGTACAATTGCGGGTGCAACCGCAAGGTTAATCAACATTGAACAAAGGGAATATTATACTGATCTGGTTGAATGCTAATTGAATTCCACGATACAAAAAATGCAAACCGAATGGGGAGTGGACGCATACCAATGTGGTAACCCACTAGAGGGGAATGCGAGAGACTGTCAAGGTTTGATGGTTGTGCTCACTCGTCCACTAGGATCGGCTTGATGACTTTGGTTAAGAAACCCACACAATGCTCTTCGAGAAACCGTCGACACGTGAGCTACGACATCGACAACAGCAACGCAAAGAAATCCGCATACTTTCGATGCCATTGGCTGCCACAGGAGAAGTTTGACATGAGGTAATACGACTGGCTCACTGGCAGTGCTGAAAAAGCTCAAGTATATGCTCATTAACATGATATGAAGGATATATGCGGTGCAATCAAAGCGGTCTGCGGTCCACCGGCCAAGAGGAGTACTTCACTGCCGAGCTAAGATGGGACAACCTTCCTGAGGCAGAAGCCGCGAATCCAGGTAATTTGGGCCGCGCACTTTCAGGGTCCTCTCAATTGCCCGTCGACACAGTACAGAGAAGCCTTCGGCTGACTTCTTCATGTGAACAATGACAACGACTTCGGTCGTCCGCAGTCCCATCTGGGGAAAGTCGGGATAGTGCAACAGCTGTCCAGAGAAAAAACGCCGAGAAAAAACTTAATTCTCGGCGAAATCTACAAGTGTGAAGATCACAACTCATGTAAATATTTACTTCGTCATCCCAGGAGACGAGGTGCAACATGTCGCAAGACTTCAAGAATGTCACCGCCGTGCAACTCTGCAAACGCAAGGGAAACTGACAACTATGTGATGACAACAGACACATCTCCCCTCTTAACATCATATGGACTTGGCCTCTGGGTCAGACACTTCTTCCTGGAAGGCAGCGCGGATTCCAGAAAACAGAGCGAAGCCTCAGATATAGTGCTTGTAACCGTCTAATTGCAAGACAAAAAAGCACCAGAAAATAGAAATCATTTATCGCACTACCTTTGGAGGTCTGAAGACAGCCTTCGACACGGTAAACAGCCACGAACCCTGGAAAATCAAACGAAAAACCAGATGCCCTAAGTGATGTACGCAAGTGTTAAGAAAACATCTGGATGAGAACAGGGTGGTCTCGTAAACATTGTTCGTGACGAATAGCTTGCAGCTTGTTTGCCTGGAGGCATAACCAGCGTGACTCTCTCATGACTAAGGTGATTTACGTAGATGACTGTTGGACTGATCAGTACCTTGGTATATTTAAGGTTAAACTCCAAGTACAATTGCGGGTGCAACCGCAAGGTTAATCAACATTGAACAAACGGAATATTATACTGATCTGGTTGAATGCTAATTGAATTCCACGATACAAAAAATGCAAACCGAATGGGGAGTGGACGCTTGCAGCTGAACCGCGTAATTTATTCCACACTCTTCACTTGGATGTTTTACTATACGCTGATCGACACCTACCGTGAGAGTTGATCGACGTCAACAGCCGAGCTGTCAAAAGAATGTTCAACATCAGCTGTCTGAATGCATGTTTTAGAGTATTCAAAATCAAATTTCACGATCTATTGTTTGCCTGTTAATTTCCGTTTATCGGAAGAAGACATATGCCGGAGTGTGGACTCCTCCGTCCCCGACGACTTCGTCTTCGGACTGGCCGTCAGCATGGGAAATAAAATAGTTCTGCACCAATCAGCGCTAGATGCTGACTCCACGGAACCCATCGCGAAATGCTGACGGGGAAGAGGCGAGCAAGGATCCCAGACACTGAGCTCCCTAAAAGAACCAATGTGGTGTCATCGCTGCCGACTTGCCTCTCACCACTCAGCACCTACACTGCCATTACTGACAGCCCGACTGACGTGGACATCCACCGTGTGCAGTGTGAGAGCAGGCATGGTGGTTTATAGGGAGAGTCGACTTACGCTGCATCTACCACACACATTCCTCCTTCTCATTTGGGCCCGGTTTCAAGACATAGTTTAGAGGGCAGAAGGCATGAGAGAGCGCAGAGCCACAACAAACACTTGACTTAGATTTTAATCAACAGTAGCACAACAACGGATGAGAAAGATCAGAATATCTGGGGTCTTCAATGCCAATGGCTACCCGCGCAACTAAGTTAATCGACACATACGCAAAAAGAGTGAAAGACCAAACCGCACGCACCCTAAATTTAGTTAGGGTTTCTGTATGTCAAGAATGTTTCGGAAGCTGTATGACGCCTTCTCGCACCACTTGGGGCTGGCATTGCATACAGACCGGAGACAAACATCCGGCGTCAGGTAATGAAACCGAAAGACCCGCTGACACGGCAAGAAACATCTGGGGTCGTTCATCGGATCAAGTGCATTTGCGGACGAAACAACTCCGTCAGGTAAACCAAATGACGGCTCCGAACGCAAATGACTGAACAGGCTGCAGCAGTGCAGAGAAATGAGGCCAGCTCTCAAGTTGCGGTTCATTCGACGAGGTGAAGCTAGACATTCAAATTCGACGCAGCTGGAATTCTTGCTCAAAGTGATAATCGCATAAGCCGCGAACTGATTTAGTCATGGTTCACCGGTCGTCAGTTTATTTCTTAGTGCATCAACTGCTTCCTTCCATATTCAGTGCTAAGACTTTGACTAGGCGGAGAAATTAACCACGCGGGAGCGCACAGCTGAAAACTGTTCCCAGTGCCAGAGTCGATGGGTCAGATTGTCGAGTGACCATCACAACAGCATCCAGCACCCATGAAGAAATTGCAGCGATTAACGACGCGAATGTCGGCCATCGAACGGCCATCACTCCAGGTGCAATAATGCCTGATTTAGAGGGGGAGCCATGAATTTTCATATGTTTGCGATAACATGGCGGCTGAATAATATAAATGCTGCAGCGCCTTGTGCATGAACAACCAGTATCTGCTATTGACTCTGGTGATGGGTAGGAGCAGGAATCTGAAACGACAGGCGAGTGAAGCTCTTGTCCTAGCAATCATGTCTTATGCTTCACAATCGCCGGGGGTTCGCACAACAGGTGGGCGACACGTTTATGAGTGCCAGGGGCCACGCTAGAAAGTAACCGTTGCAATTTGACTCTCAGCTTGTCAGTCCGCCACTCCACACAACTGGGCCGACTGTGTGGACCGAGTTGAGGCGCCAGTCGGCAACCTTCCAAGCGGCGACGCTTTCGGCACCGTGGTGGACCACCAACATTAGCAACACCAATGTCGAAACCCCTACCAACCGGTAAATCGTTGCCACCGCCGTCTTCCCCGCCATCAACGTGGACTGAATGCCAACCTGACACCATCGGACATCGGCCTGGTCGGTCAACTGCGAAACCATCGCACAGAGCCCAGCGACGTAATCCGGTGGTGTTTCAAACACGCTAGGGCGTTGGCCCTTGAATGCCCTTGTTTTCGGCCGCCGCAAAATTGCACTCCGTACAAAATGACTATTTATTTAGTATGAACTTTTTCTGTCGATTTCCGGCGACCTTGAAAATATAAATATATTGTACGGAAAAGGTCATTGAAAACATTATTTTCCGGGCGTAGTTGATAGCCAACTATGTCTTCTTCAAAAGTAGTGTTTAAGATAGGGACATCTGTTGGGTTTAAAAGTTTTCAATTCCCGAATAATTTTGAACTCCCCATGCAATTATTCACCGTTATAACAACAGAAATATTAGTTAAATGCCGAGTCTTAAAAGGCCGGTTCGAAAGAATCTACTCCAAGTTCGCGCATTGATTTTCTTAAGAATTAAACATAACATATGCTTCTTTGGGCAATAAGAAAACACCGTATGGGGATAATAAAATGTCGCAACTGATGTAGAAATGTTGTATATTCATTGAGCAGCATCATTAAACAGACAGATACGATGCTATTCGAATGGATATTGTGGGGACGTAAACAATCGCTGAATTGAAATTTCTTAAAAACTCAGGCATACCTTTTCCCTGAGCATAAAATGTAAAGAAAGCGCAGTGAGTATATGAAAAGTGTTTTGGACAAATGATGATATTGAAAATTGACAGAGAATGTACCTACTGTTTAAGTAGTCTTTTTTGCCGATTACGCCTTTTGCTGGCAGCTGAAAAGAGTAAATTCGAAAACCAACAATCTGCCGTCTTCGAAATATTAATGTGTCATGTCGCAAGACAATCAATACATGAACCCTCTTATGTAATCTTTCCTAACTGAAAACTCATTTCGGATTTCGGTAACAATCGGGAGATGGCACGCAAAAAATCCGTTACCTAGAAATAATACCTTTAACAGTAATCTCAAACGCCTTCAGGCTATATTAGCAGTTGCAGGCCAACTTTCACGCACTACTTGGACTTTCCCTGACGGCCTAACGTGAGATGGCCGAACGAACATCGCAGGAGGTTACATGGACAATGGTCGCTGTCACCCAACCTTCCCCATCCTTACACACGTACACCTGAATATACGGCATACATTCGTATAATGGCAGTTTATAACAAAACAAAATCACTTTTGAATAGGATAAGTCTGCACAGCATGGGACAGGAACAGTTCCTAGGCATCTGTTAAAGACATGGCTTTGAGGCCAAACCAAAGACGATACTGTATTTCGTCTATGTGAGCCCACACAGCTCGACCACAACAGGGACTCTCTCTCGTGGACTTTCCTTTTCAGTCTACTCCAGTACGCCTCAGTGTCTTTGAAGTTCTTTGAGTAGTTAACAGAGAAATGTAGATAACCTTCTGAGGGAAGACGATTATACGCCTTCCACTCGTCCGTTACCACTATACTGCCTTTGGCGACCCATTTTGTAATAACGGAACGGAAAGCGGGCCAACTTCGATCATTCACCTATTCGAATAAGGCTTTCTGTCGGCTAGTATCGTGCATCCTGACCAGCCACCAGCCATAAAACCCCTATTACCACCTGTCCCGTAAGACAGGATGCTTTGGTTAGGCGGATTTTTTGGGTGCCGTCTACCGATTGTTACGCGGATTTCTAATAAGAGTTTCGTGAGATCGTTCACTGACTGTACCTCAGTGGACTTTTTCCTCTGATTAAGTGAACAGTTACAACGTGGATTAAAAAAAGACTGCTCTGGACAAATTTAAATGGTTCTTCATGAGTTTTGAAAAGACGATCTCGCATGCTTTTTTGCCAAACTTTGAAGTAGTCGGCATCCCCGACGGCCAAACTCAGCCTTTAGATTAATTTGTCCTCCAAAGGGCTATAAACTACGTCCAATCGCAATTCCGAACTCGCCGCTACATAGAGCCGTCAGCTGAATTGTTCACTAAACTTCCAGATCCCAAACCACAAGTCTGTCCTCTTTTACTAGAGGGCGAATGCTTCTGTTAGTGGCTGCTCAACTAATTAAAAAGTCAAATCGGCAAACAAATGCGTTTAGTAGTTCGTCGTCACGGGAGGACAATTACATGTAGAATGAAAATATGAGACTTGGACGGGGTTTATAAACGTTACAGGAGTCAGTCACATTTCTCGTCCCCACGCTTCGCGCAAGGCGAGGTTACCGCGCCGAATGGGCTACGCAGCAGATACGCTGGACCAACACGGGGCCACATCGGATTCTGTCAAGCGTCTCTGAATGAGCACCATAACACCGGGATGTGGCGGTAGGCCCAGTTGCCGGTCCACGCCACGCCAAGTGATACACCTGGAGCGCTCTGCTCCATTTTTCGTATTGGATAAATCCTGATCAAGGGTTTGTTGTGGACCAGGCAGTGCAGTGGTGCGGTTTGGTGCGATTGCAGCCCTGCCAGGCATTCACACACTCTCTCGGTCTCCTGGACTATGTCTTGAGATCGGATTCAGGTGGGGAGGAGGAGAGAGTGTGGTAGATGTCGAGCAAGTCTGCTCTAACTATAGAAGAATTCACGCGCAAGTCACCGTGCCTGCTCTCACCTTGCTATGGAGCACACGAAGGACATCGTCGGGCACTAACTGTCAGGGCGGGGGGGTGAACATAAGGCGTCGGCAATTTCTGTAGGTCAAACACGCGGACTGAGGAGTTTGGGCGAGTTGCGATCACCAGGGGAAGAAATAATCGAGTCTGGGACCCGCATCCACGCCGAGTTCCAACGCACTCTTACACACATCCGACCGCGTCGACTCACGTTGACGAACCACAAACCCATCTCGACTGCACTCTTCCCCTGCTCCTTGACCTCGGGACTAAGTCATGCTTCCTGCCTGCTGTTTTGAAAGTCCTGGCAATCTACAACATCCTTCCCTCGCTGTTGGTTATATCTGTGCTTCTTTGAGTGCATGCTGTTTAGCTGTGACGTGTATTGTTACAAATAGAGGCAAAAAGGCGAATTTCAGAAAGCCATGGGCGGCAAGTATATGCGATTGTTGGAAAAAATTACTCGCCTGACTTTTGAGGTTCCCACCCGAGCCCGACGTTTCGACCGGCGTTGCCGACGGTGTCTACTGCGGTGTTCCACAGCCAGGTAAAAGCAGGGACGGGGACAAGTTCGTGAGTAGTTAGTACAACACTTACCGCACTCACTCCTGCTCCACCACCTGGATCCGGTTGCAAGACAGAGTCAAGAAGACCAGCGGCGGGGAACAGCGCAGGTTGATAGCATTGTCGAGCCCGCACCTTGGCGCTCCACTCCACATCCTCTGGCCAACACAGCAAATGATCAGGATTTTGACCAAAAAAAACATAAATAGGGAGCGTTGCCCCGGTTCCAATGTGTGCGGCGTCAGCCAGAAACTGGGTCTGCCACCGCACCCCGGAATGTTGGCATTTGTTATGGTGAGCATTCCAATAGCGTACGCCAGAATACGATATGGCTCCCGTGTTGGTCTAGCAAATTAACCATGTAACCCGTTTGGGGGCACGAAGCGTTTGGGGAATACTCCCCCGAATCTAACAACAGAGACAGTCGCCAATAAAAGTACAAGGGCACAGGATGTTCAGTCATTTTTGAGTGCAGTTGCTATGAGACCACATATAGACCATAATTACCGGCTGCCGTATTTACCGCAGGAGTACAGGGAATGTGCGTTTGCCAACTCCGACCTCTTTCTCATTTGAGGGTGGGACGATAAAGAAAGTAAACGCTGAAGCTTGCGGAATCTGTTGCGCTCATCATATTGCTATGCGACCATAACCTTAAAATACGTGTCTTGGGACTCTCCACACTAAGTTAGGGAATAAACTCAAAAGACAATTCAAAAGTCAAAGACCGAACAATCACAGTACTTATACAACCTGGACCGGATGGGCAGTGTGGTAGTTCTCCTGATTAGCCAACCATTTGCCGCTAGTTAATACTGTTTAAAATCATCCAAGCCCGCGTTTCCGCTCGATTTCCGCGATTTGATCTCGGTGTTGAAGCAGAATTATACCTGAGTGCAATAACGCGAGGGTTGAAAAAATCAGCTTACTTTAGTCGTAAAGTAGGAAGTGAGATCTAGACTCTGGAAAGGAAGGCATCAGCTGATTGGGTTGCAGAACCTGTCATCGCCGCTGCGTATAAAAGCTCACGTACATCAGTATTACTTTCGCTGTCATTTCTTACGGCCTGCAAAGACTCTAGATGAAGTCCTTAGGCGAAACGACATGACCATGTCTCATAACCTGATAGATGGACGCATCCCGATCTCAAACGAAAGGACAGCTGGCCCATGGTTTAATGAAAATGCGTTGGAGTGCTTAACGCCCAATGCCCAAGGATCCTTGTAATGTAGACGTGGCTGATGCCGGCTCTTTTGTCCTTTAATTTAGCATAGCTGTGAAAAACTAGCGACCTCGGTGGGATTTCACCCAAGGCACCAGGATGAAGGCTTGTATACAGCCAACCCTGTAACCAACTGAGCTTCGAGGCCCCCTCCGGAGCTGTGAGTTTAATCACATTAAAATAATTTACCTACCCAGCTCATTGCAATGTATGAGATACACCAAATCTGATACAGTAGACCCACTGTTGATGCAGAATTTTCAGAGGAATCGGTTGAACATTCACCAGATGAGCATCAGGATGATGTAATTAGTAGGTTTTTGGCCGATTTCAAATAATCTATCGGCAGTTACTTCCTACTTATGAATGTGAAAACAGACATTCCAAGAATCATAATTTGAAAAATATAAGTTAATAGAGTCAGCGTGGCAAACATCTAATAAAGTCTAATTCCTGCCTGGGTAATGGTAAATTCCATATGTTGCAGTAGGATGGACGGGTAACTTGACTCAAATGTGATCAAAGCCATGGCTGCCGATAGGTAGTGTGTTGCTCGTACTCAAGCCTTGCCATTGCCGTAATGGGTTAAAACCCTACCGAGGTCGTCTAGTTTTTTACAGTAAAGTCAAAATATATTGTTCAAAATCTGTCAAAACATCTCCTTTTCTCATCGATCTAGACAACAGTAAATTCCTATAACCACCACCCAGCGTGCGCGTCCTTAGATAAAGCTGAGATACAGTCGATGTGATGTGCTGAGCACTGCGATTAGTCGGTCAGTTCCATGAAGCTCGCTTACAACATCTGGAGACTTTATAGATCTCCTCTCTGATTTGATTTTAAACAATGAAAAATCAAAAAGACCTTAACGAAGAAACTTTTGGGGCCAGTTATAGAAGAAATCGTTGATGCAAAATACCAGGACCCAATGATTTTTATTTGTTCATAAAACGATTAAGAGTTTGCCAATAAAAGGAAGAATCAATATTTGGAAGCCGGGGTTTGTTCATCATTCTGTAAAGGTTAAATGTATTATTACAGATTTTTACGCTGGAGTGTTGTGAAAAATCGATCTGGTTGTATTTCAGACTTAACATTTCTACGCTAATCGACCAGTACAGGGCAGTTAGGGGACGCACAATGCTAACAACTTTTAAATAAAGAAAAATGATCAAGTGCAAAATCTGCCAGTATGCGCGATGTGGAGATTACTATACGACTATATACTATACTATACTATATACTATACTATATATACTATACTATACGGTAATGTTATTCTGCCTACGACCCAGTAAGCTAAAAGAACGAAATGTGAGGCTTTAGCGACGATACGCATGCAGATATAGAGGAGTTCAAAGTCGGTTAGTGTAATTATTCCACCACCATTAGCGCCATCGTCGTCTACGTCGTTGTCATCATCATCATCATCATCATCATCATCATCATCATCATCATCATCATCATCATCATCATCATCATCATCATCATCATCATCATCATCATCATCATCATCATCATCATCATCATCATCATCATCATCAGCAGCAGCAGCAGCAGCAGCAGCATTATCATTATCGCCATCGTCACCATCCAAAACACCATCACCATCATCAACTGGTTTGTGCAGTTAAATACGCCAAGGTGGGACATCCAAGTACAAAAATTGGACAGAGCCAATCGTGCAGATGAAACATGGAGTGGAGTTTTGCTTGGAATTGCCAAGCAAGATAGGTTGGATGTGATCTAGTCCAAAGATTAAAGGAGTGGGATTCGCTGTCACTAAGTGTGTTTGTGTTTCCTATCTAATGCTACGTGACAGAATTCCGGCAGGGATATGCGTGGATCATTTTAGTCGAAGGTTGTTGGAGGGTTTGAATGAACGCCTTCTGGCAGCGTAAAATTGTGTTAACTAGCCATATGGCCACTGCCTTTGCTGTCGCCACTATCCGCTGGGACAAGCATCAGAAACGTCTTGCCGACATATCGTGGATTACACAAAAGTATGGTTGACGTTTACTCGGTCGCAGCTGTCAACCATTTGGAAATGACTGCGCTATAGATCGACTTTGTAATGTTTTGATTTAGATAATTGGGAAACTGCCTTCACGTCCTCTTAGTGATCCGAACTGTGTAACGCACTCCATCAGAACAAATTTTTGTGCTAATGCACATCTTAACAACCTAAAAGATAAACTATCTGGCGGATGGCGCAGAGCACTTAAGAGAGCCTTGTTTTCAACCTTGGGTACTGGGTACGTGTAAAAGCGGAGTTCAGGGGACGGAGCAGGAATCCGTTAGGCGCGTCATATTGAAAGTAGTTCTTTTGTTAACCGCCGACGCTCTCGAATTTGACAGACGTTTATAGATATATTTCGCAACAAACGTTTCAGGGAAACCATATCCATACGCTGCACGGTTGAAGGACGATTTCGTTCTCAAGCTTGGCCGCAGGGCGTATTATCTCATCACGTGATTACTAAATTCCACAGACGGAACAGAAGATAACCCATCAGGTGAAATATCGCCGATCGACCGACGCATGACGAGAGACTATGAAACTGCCTTGGCCTGATAACATGGCTTTCCCAAGGTGCACAAATGAGGCATTCACATATAACCCATCGTATCGCTTAATGTCAGACAGGCGAAATGACTGTTTCGGCGCCTCAAAATGTCTGCTGCTGATCCAGTCACCAAAGTGGGTTTTCCAGCAAAACTAATTGATGAAACTCAAAATGATAAATCCCCCATCAAACAATAACATGGCATTTTTGAGGTCACGCCAATCTTTATATTTCCCCCGGAGATCTGTCGGTCAAGATCAGTAAAAAACTTCTGCAAAGTATCTTAGCCTCCAGCTTTAGAAGTCCTGGCCTAAAGATGCTCGACAATTTCGGTGAGTTAGTGAAGTGCCTGCCAATGGGTTATGGGATTTTTGAACGCGCAGTTCAGGCAGTCCTAAAACGTTTGGAATTGCAGGTTTTCTGACGTCAGAAATGCAATTTCTGGCTTCAATGCATGAGGAGCATCTTCGGCGCCATCGAATGGAATCGAGTGCTTAAATTCAAAGATTATTTCGACGTCATTTTCCTGCATACAAAATTGAGCATTAATGTCATTGTCTGCCGCAAAAAACCAAAAGATTTGGGTACGTAGATGGTTGCGCTCGAAGTACTGGGGCAACTTCAACAAACATCCAAACCAGTCACACACGCACCTGAGGGTCGATGTGGGGAATCGGAGGATAAGATTTCTGAATAGCAATATCCTTGCTGAGTGTTTAGAATATATGCCTGCCATTGTACCTTCGTCCACCGTTTCATAAGGAAACAAGATGAAAGAACAAACTGCACCGAGCCCACATTCGAGCGAGAGACCCCTACGTATTATGAAAGGATCTCAGAAACCGTCGACCATTTTCTCACATTATTTGACATTGGAGTTGCACACAGACCAGACTTAAGTACTAGACACCAAGAAATCGCACTAAAGACCAGCTGCCACAACCGGAAACGTCTGAAGTGGTTTAACGAATGTGACGCTTTTGCGGAGAAAACAAATGCCTCGGAGAAACAGGAAGTCTAATTCAAAAGTGGATGGCCGAAAACGCAGCGGAAGTGGCGAGAAATGCGACTACGTCTCAGCTTCCACCACAACTGACGGGAGAAGTCTGGGACTGCCTTTAGAGGCGACAAGTTTGAGAGATACCTGACAGTTCGGACGTCGTGCCAGACGATGTCCACCGCGCGCTCCACAGCGAGGTGAAGCAAATGCGGTGACTCTCCTTCTCTTCGCCTCAGTCCGGTGTCAAAGGAGGCGAGGAAGGGCGCAGGTGGCTGGCACAGCCGGAGCCGCAGCTAGGCGTACCACAACACCTGTGTTCCACAACAGACGCCTGATCAAGATTTAACCGTAACAGCGATACCAAAACGGATCAGAGAGAGGAGGATGACTGAGCAGCCACACTCATAACCTGTATTCCCAGCGGGAACGCAAGCGCATCTGCCGGCAGGAAACTAGGTGCCACGTATAACTGACAAAACACACCGGGCTCCGAGGGGCATTGGTTGCCGACCATGTTGCTGATCATAAAATAGACATACTTAGAGGCATTATGATACCCGAGTCACGGTTCTCCGAACTGAAGTCTATCAACAGTTGCGAAGGCACCATCTGCCTCCATTATGATTTTTGACTTTGCATGAGCAGAGTAGAGGGGAGTGTGCAGACGAATGCTCATCGGAATGAGATCACTTATAAGCCACACAGCCGAGTAATTATCCAGTCAATAGCTAATACTACTACTACTACTACTACTACTACTATTACTACTACTTCTACTACTACCACCACCAACACCAACACCACCACCATTGTGGATGATGTTGCAGCACTTTCAGCAATCGAGAGACCATCGCAAAATCAACGAGCATCCGCGATGGGCGCCGAGTCGAAATACTTCATCCTTTTAAAACCACAACCATTGTGATTATGTCGTCTCATCTGCTGTGCCCTCTACCGATAAACAAGAGCGTAAATTTAAAATGTTAGGCGAATAAGGCCCCTGCTTCAGCGAGCCCGTTTTTCTATTTTCAACTCTTTTCTTGGACTCTCCTTTTTGCTTGTATCTAGAATGTGGTCTGCAATGATAATGTTTAGTTAGAATGCTGCCATAAACAACGGAGGGTAGGGATCCCGGGGTTCAAACCCTTTTCGAACTGCTAAAGATGCGGCATTATTATACGTGTTTGTGTGCCGGATGCATGGCAATTTATTTTCAGCGTAACTACGGCTTTCTCAGCAGATTTCAAATAGTTGGAGTTGTTTTGCCCTCTCTTGAGAACGTTCTTCTCCGGCACTTTCGACTCCTTAGCGGAATCAAAAAATTCAAACATTGAAAACTCGTATTGCCCATGCACCACCAATCACTTGAGTACCCTGAAGTTCCCCCCATGAACCAACCATGCATTACTGTTTCACGCGGCGTTTGCAAAACTCGCGCTTCAGTTTTTTTTGGTTAAGTACACTAACACGAAGCCGGGGTGCAACGCCGCAAAAGGCAACTAAAATAAACAAGTTTAATTAAGACTCCGTTTTACCCCTACACTATTTGCTGTCATTAACCTTCCTCCTAAAGTGTGTAATATTTTACCATTAATTCATTGAGTGCAATAACTAATCGAACAGTTTCATTCATTGTTTTGACAGCCCTTTGTCGACCAAAGTTCAACTTGTAAACTGTATTAGATTAAAGTTCAGAAATAGAAGAGGACGATGAAGCAATGATTTCAAGAGCTTGCAAGAATATTATCCCCGGATGCGCTGAGGGGCGAACTCTTCTTTATATGATACAGTAGAAATTTGCGCATTTTTATTGTTATTGTTTTATTGTTTATTGTTTTTATTGTTATTTGGAATTAACTTCTACTAATTATTTCATTAAAAATTTTAATAACCGGGTCGTCCAGAAAAGATACACCACTTTTGCATTTCACAACGTAATCGTTAGCGCTCGTTCAGCCTTGCTCTCTTTATAGTCGAGGATGTAGGAATCGCGCTTCTCATCCATTAGTAAATACATGTTATGCATAAAGGGGGTTTATCCGTGGAGACGGCTACTTTGTTGAAGCGACTGAATACCTCTTATGCGGACGTGAGAGAGCCATACGTTTTGGCCAAGACAGTGAATGAAAATGTCCGTCCCTTGCGCTGTCACGACTAGACCTGCATACAGCGGCCAGTGGATAAACGTCAGGCAAATATTTGAATCCTTTGCGGGGTGTCAGCAAGACACTTGAAGTGCCTGTATCAGATCGGATACTCACGACGATGTGTGCCGCAGCGATACCGTTATTTACTGCAGCCTTGTCTTTCCAGAAGGCGTTTCTTTAAGTCGTCCAGCAACTCTGTAACAAACTAAGCCCTGCATATTCCTACTTGCTTCCTGCTACGCCGTGATGCAGCGACGAGACTCAAGCACGCCAAGCGACACCGGTTCCCTGACACACAAACACGGGAATAAATCATGATAGGTCATTTCTGTTTTCCTATTCCTTACAATCTCTCCACAAAACTCTCATCAATTGGTCATTGTTTACGTTATGTGAATGTTTTGTTGACCTACGCTGAAGTACGTTTCTGTAAAGGGGAGATGAAAAATAGTCAGTAGGTTACGTCTGCCGATCGTCAATTATTAAATTCCCATAACACGCTTGTATGTGTAAACATGTTGTCCGCTAAGAATTTTGCCCGCTTACTTTGTTCCCTATGTAAGTAAGTTCTTTTAATGGACAAACCTATTCATGCCAGAGTCTGCTGGTTGATCCGGTCTAGTTTTGGAAGACCTGATTCACTTTAAAGCAGTCCTTTGAAGGTGCAAAACCTCTCTATAAAATCCTAGTCAATCAGCAATCTTCTTCTCAGTCAGTAAGCCGGACTCGTTCCAGTCAGGAATAAAAAAATTTGCACGCAATCCTGATTTGGACAGAAACAATTTCTGACCCATTTTCATGCATACTACTCTCAAAATGTAGACCGCTAACGGAGAGCTCGTCTCGACGTCCTACCACAATTGTGTGCAGACGTGCGTGTTATCGAGGTTCCGATACGTTTCGTTATATCAACTCGTAAAGGTCACTTCACCTGTCACGACCCTAAATGTTGGTGGAACTGAAAGAGATGTAGACCGGAGTACATGCGACAGTTCGTCCGTCGATTCTGACGATGTCCGCCGTATGGTACCCAGCAAGGCGCCGCAGTCACGGCGACCTGCGCGGGAATTAGTTTTTAATGATAGTGCACTTGCTCAGCATCTACCGCACTCCCTCTTCCTCACTCGCAACTTGGACCCGGTGTCAAGACAAAGTCAAAACGACCGGAGGCGGGGCAGGGCGCGGGTAACGGGCACGGCCGTAACCGCACCTTAGCATGCTATCACACCCCCTGGTCCGCAGCATACACTTGACAAAGATTTTTCGCCAAAAAACAACACCCTAAAAGGGGGGAGAAAGAGGAGGATGATGACTTGGCGGCCATGCCCACAACCTGTATACCCAGCGTGAGCACAGAAACCTCTATCGGCAGTGAACCAGGTGTCAGGGAACTGTTAGCGCAAACCAGGCTCCGAGGACCATGGCTTGCTGATACTGGCATAGCATGATTTCAGACATTTTGACCTTTCCAGGGTACAGGCGCTTTATTGACAACCTGCGAACACTAGGGGATCCTACTCGTTAGAAAGGCGTATTACTTGTATTGGTCCCTGTGCGATCTGGGGCATTCCTGCCTATGGCGCGCCGGTCGCAGATTGGCAATCGCGTCTACGAGACCCCCCGCCGCGGCTCCTTACTGCAGCACACGCTAATTTGTTGTCCGAGTTAACATGTCACAACCGGCTTGGCCTGCTGCACGGCTGAGTTTGTTTGTGAACCGCTGAAAATACCATTAATCTACAACCTAATCCACAACCAAATAAATAAACAGCTCACTAAAGCGGCAACAGCCAAGATGTAGACAGCTGTTTTGCAGTAGTTACCGATCATCGATACGTCATAGACCATATGAAATGAGGTATATAAACATGTCGAGTGGACGTTTAACTCTCACTGTTGTTTTTAGGATCTCACTCAATCCCATTCTACAGCCCGCCGTCTCGCTACTAATGACAACAAAAGCTTACTTGATATGTTTACAGTGGGTGGTCTAACCCATGAAATATCAACCAAAATTTCGAAATGCGTTTTCGTTTCGAGAAGATTAATTAAGGATGGTTTTAAAGCTAGCCACTATGCAGAATAGTTCTACCGCAGGATGCCAGCTTTCGATCGAAGTTCTTTTCGGCTGCATGCGAAAACCATACTCCCTAAAAAATAACCAATTAAGAAGCAGGCATTTTTCCCATTGACTTTCGATACCATAAAAAATTTAATTAAATTTCATGGAAAACTTGCATATTAATATTCATTCTCTTGCTCAGTCGGTAGGAAAGCACGCCTTCTTTCAATTTTATACCCAAAGGAGTGGCATAATTCGTTTTTTAAAAAGTTTTTAATTGTAATATATTTTAATACCGTTAAATGGTCATTCATAAAACGTCATGCCCCGGCACTTACCAGTGTGACTTCGTAAGCTAACAAGATGGATCCAATCCACTGTAAAATTTTCTGGACCCCATATGGTCTGCTTATAATACCGTAGAGATGTGCGTGGTTTACCGTACACGAAAATATACGGCTTCTAGTTTAGACACCCTGAATACAAGTGTGACGGCGGTGGAATTTCGAAATTATCTGATAATTTGTTTTTAAAAACTAAGTTATAGCCTTCCTTTGAGTATAAAATTGGAAAATGATGTAATTTTTCTACCGAATAAGCAAAGGAATAAATGTTTTTATGCGTGTTTTCTATGAAATATATTTGAATTTTAGAGGCATCGAAAATCAACGAGGAAAATGCATGCTACATAAGTAGTCCTTTTTACAGATTATGTGTCTGCATGCATCCAAACGCCGTTGTGGTAACGGGTTTACTCAGCCCTGTTTTGCGTAAACGAAAAAATTATATTGCGGTAAAAATACTGCCAGCATTTATCAGGCTAGATGTGATTATGTGGCCCAATCTGATGGACACAATGCTTTTAAGTTAAGGTTTAGGGCTGCAGCCAGGTGTCAGGGTCAGGGTTGGGGGCTGGGGTTAGTGTCTAGGTTTTGATTAGGCTAAGGCCTAGGAATAAGGGATTAGGCCAAATATTTCTTAAAAATTCAAAGTGAAAGCGCGCATCCCTAATATATTTTTTTGCATACAGTTGTTTGACCTCGTCGCCTGTGCGTTTTCCGGACCACCGGTCCGGTATTACAGACGGTTGTGGTTTGCATACATCAGGAGCGGCTACATAACCACATCTGACCAGATATCCAAGAAGAGTAACATGCCATGCGCGTATTTGCGGATTAAAGTAGTTATAGAGAATTCGATTTGAATATTAATGCTCAGCTCCTAGGTTAGGTGATTTGGTGACATTCGTAAAACAGGCCAGTTTCCGAGAAGAATAGACCAATAAGCGTCTAAATCAACTACGAAAACAATGGTAAATAACAAATTTTTTCCTCTTTACTTGCGTTTTTGCGACGGTGTTACACATTAAAGTAAGTGATAGTCCACACCTTCGAAACGGGTAACGAGTTAAACTGCGTAGCTACCATGATTATCGTCTACAAGGGAAGTAAGACGGTTCGACGATTGATTGGATCCTGGTACTCGGATAAGAATCTAATTAAGCCATGCAACTATCTGACGCCTGCACCTAGTGGACTGCGTAGTCGTCACCTGGTCTGCGACACAGATTGCCGACTGGCCGATGATCCCAATAACTGTCAGTCGTTCTGTTTCTACTGTCATTTCCGAACAAGCTCATAACCTCAAAAATATAGACGAGTTGTTCTGGCTTTAGGTCAGAAACTTTCTAACTCAGCCTCTACTTACTTTTGATTGTACTGCCCGGTTGTATTACCTCATCCGATAGTACAAAATGAGAATGCCCCTTAAGTGAATTTTAAGGGTTTTGCTACATCATTGGCACTTTAACTAATTTTTCGATGTTCAACTTTCGACACATGCAGAGCTTTCAAGCGACGTAGCCTTTCAAGTAGATGATTTTCTTTAAGATTTTAAATTTTTATACATTTCAATAGCTTTCAGTCTCGGAGTCTTGGAAAATGTTGTATAAAAAGTGAACGCCAGTCGTCCGAGAACTTGATGAAACCCGGTTTCTGGGTATAGGTGCTGCTTAAAACGTGCAATTTCAATGTTTATCTTTGGAATTTTTAAATGGACAGTGGACTGCAGTTCCTTGAAAAGAGATTGTATCCATTAAGAAATTTAAAAAACGACAGAATTCATTATAAAATATCGACAACGTCTTGCGTTGGAGCCCTCTGTGCTTGCGAGTTAAATGCCGTCATGATGTGCCAGACTTTGGCTCTCTAAAACGTCAGTATCATAAAAATCTCCCTTATGAAACATTTGCTATTACAGTGATTATTCTGCAAAATATGAACGTCTGGGACAGGTTAATCCACGCCGCATACATTACCGATCACAATATGGTAGTTTTTTGAATTTTTAACCATAGGTGGCACCCCATGACTTCTTTGAACTGCATAAGATGTGCTAACAGATAATCATGGATGAAAATTCACGAATTCTACATTGTCTGCGAAATCAAAACAAGCATAAGCAAATTTTGAAATTTCCGGGCGCATATAAGTGGTCAGCGTTTAAAGAAACTTTATTTTCCACCTTCAGCAGTCGAAAGATGCGAAAAGATGCGTAAATTAAACGATATCTTCCGAACGCATTTTTCTCGTTAAATGCTGCAGCAGAATTCTAAAACCGGATGCGTGTTTGCAGATGGCCTCTGTAATTGGTATTTTTCGCGTCTGTTGGTCTGCCGCCTATATTTTGCGTACAGTTACACGTACACTAATGCTAATCCTCTACAACCAAATTGTTTACAGTGTCGGATTATTATGGTCTAATTTGTGGGCAGGTTCCAAGACTGAGGAGGTAGTATGAATAAATAATAATCTTGACGTTTGGTAATTAGACTTGAACAGCAAAAATAACAAACAGTGAGTAGTAAACAGACTTAAGGAGTTTTGTAAAAACTAAATTAAGCCCGAGGGATTCAGGCCCGAAAATGCTTTCGAACAGCGGGAAAATGGGAAAATCTCGAGGGATTAGGTGGCGTGATTGCTGCGTCAAGTTTATGAAATTCCAGACGGTTGCTGACGTATAAGCGTAGCATGGGTGAAAAATAAAATTTGTTTGGTAAAGGCATGCATCCGAATGGCGTTTCGAAATATGGAAACATTTTCAAATTTTGAGTTGCTTGTCAAAATGTCCAAGTTGCCCTTCTATAAATGGAGGTTAAGAATTAAAGGAAATCATTACGCTGCAAATATCAGAAATATTGCATTTTTGAACAGCATTCCCATCAATCTTTACTACTAAGACTTGCCGGCGTCTTGTCGGATGTAAAAAATGCAGTCACGTGAAGATATCGTTTATCAGCATAAAAGGTGATGATGAAGAGTTTGAGGTCCATATTTGCGTACCAAACGCTGTGTAGTTTGCGTGTTCGTTTAGGTAATTTTGGAAAATGTTGCGTCAATGAAAATTGACATAACCTTATAATTGAGTAATTTTATTTTGTTAAAAAACTTCCCAGGCAAAATTTGCGTACGAACGCAGCCTTATGTTCATAAGAGAAAAGATAAAAGTACGATTAAGATCAAAAAAGCTGCCGCCGCTGAAAAAAATATTTTCGATCCGGATAGGTCGGTCGACGGAGGTTGTGTTTGGCAGGTTGTTTAGATAAAAACAAAACTTTTCGACTTAAAAAAATTATATTGGGATTTTTGTACCATTCCTTGGTCTATAAAAGAACATAAAAATTAAGACAAGCCCGCGCTTTAATGCAAAACTATTTTCTCGATTTTCACAAATATATCGTAATAGTCAATACTAACTTTTTTAACTCTAGAGCACATGGAAAGATACTCCTATTTGCCTAGTTCCTGCTACTGCATGGATCATAAGCGGGTCAAACAGAGAATCATCATGTCAAACAATATGTCACTTTAAAGATTGCCTTTCTGTCTATTTTTATTGTAGATTGAGCAACAAGCAGACAAAATGAAGAAAACGACGCCAATACAAGGGGAAAAAAATCTCCCACGCCAGCAGCGGAAAACTTATGATTATTATAAAGGCGGAGAATTAACCGATAAAATAGTATAATTTATTCTCAACGTCTCCTTTGAAAATGTGAATTACATGCGAATGCTTCAAGAAAGTATTCCAACAATATACGTTTTAGAGAGTCATACTGTTTACGTATTTGTTGCATTGTAAGAGATCACATTTTTCATAAATCTTCGTTGGCTACATTTATTTTTGTATGCATTAGGTTTCTTGATGGAAGAATTTAAAAACACGACTTAGCAGTCATCCGCGCAAAACGCCCCAAACTCAGTAATTTAATAAATATTTCCAAGAAATATTTTATCTCGGTCGTCATGGTAGATAAAAGCTACAGTCGATACCCTTCTGGGTAGTCGGCTGAGAACACAGAATACTGTAGAGCACCCAGTAATATTCCAGGGGCATTCTAATACTCGGCGAATTCTACTCTCTCCTAAAACCACATAGCAATTTCTCTAAATCGGGACTTGGTCGATCTGAATAACAATACGAGTGAGATGGCCCATTACAGACATTTCGTGGTATACTAAATAAAATACTACAATCATTTTTAGACCTGTCAAAGCGTGTTTTTAAAAAAACCCGTTTGATGAGAACATAGGTTGCCGAAAAGGGATTTTGATATAAAACGTATTTAGCACGTTAACTATAGAATATAATAGGGTCTATAAGGGCAACAAAAGTCAGTGGCAAACCCCACAGTATGTAACTTTTTTATTAGATGCGGTTTTCGTTGCCAGATTAAAAGTACCCCATTCTGAATTCGGCCTTCTGGCGAAACTGAAATAACATCTGATTACGCAGCTTGACGTTCCAGTACATACGCAAAAATGACAAAAGACCAAACCGCACGGACCCCAAAATTTAAGCGAGAGGTTCCGTATGTAAAGAACGTTTCGGAATCGGTCTAACGCCTATTCACACCACTTCGGGCTGACATTGCCCACAGACCGGAGGCAACCATCTGGCGTCTGATAATGAAGCCCTAAAGTTCCACTGCCACAGAAAAAACGCCTGAAGTTGTTTATCGGATCTGGGTCAGTTGCGTACAAAGTACCTTAATTGGGGAATCCGGCAGAAAATGCCGGACACGAATAGCCGAACCCGGCTGCAGCGGTGCGGAAAAATGACACCTGCTCTTAAGTTTCGGCTCATTCATCGAGATACGGCTAGACATTCAAATTCGACGAGGCCGAAATTTTCGCTAAATGTGACAATCGCGTGAACCGCGATCTGCGTCAGTAATGGTTTACTGGTCGCTCTTTTAGTAACTAGTGCATCGACCGTTCCCTTCCATATTCGGTACTGTGAATTGGTCTGGGCAGAGGACAGGCAATCACTCTAGCCAACGCCAGAGTCGGTGGATCAGATTGTCGAGTATCCAGCACCCATGATGAAATTGCAGCCATTAACGACTCAAATTTTCGTCATCGAACAGCTATTACTCCGTGTGTAACAATCCCTGATTTAGGGGGAGGGGGAGCAATCAATTTGTATAGGTATGTGGTGGCATGGCGACTGCACATTAAAAATGCTGCAGAGTCTTGTGCATGAACCAACCGTATCTGGTATTGTCTCTGGTGATGGGTTCGAGTGGGGAGCCAAAACGTCGGGCGAAAAAAGCCCTCGTTCAAACGATTTTGTCTTAAGCTTCACGGTGATTATCGGCATTACATCCTCCGCAAAGAAATCCTGTCTAATGAAAAAGACGTTTCCGATTTTCGGTTAACATTCCGTGAGTTGGACCCGATATCGTACCAATGGGGAAAATTTTAGTCCGAACGGCACTGTCGGTCTTTCGAACGCTCTACTTCCTGCTCAATTTGATTTAATCACTTATTTATATGGACAAGCTTACTGCATTTTGGAGATTTAAGTTGAATAATATGGCATCGTTTTTTGATTTCAATATTTCTTCTAGTTTTAGAAGAAGCCCTTCCTCCTAATGTTCTTGCTTATGATCTCATTTTACATTATTCCGTTCATTATTAATTGCTGAGTTTGACCGATGCGCTTGAGACAGCTTTTTCTGTGCGTAAAAACGTTTTTTATATTTTAGCACATTTCACCAGCTAAGTCGTTTACTGCATGTATTTGAGTGTTCTTAGGTACTAAAACAGGAACCGTATTCAGGATGCGCAAACCCATGTCTGAGTAAGTGCGTATGTGATAGTGCAAACCTCCTGACAAATTCTCTTAGAGCCGTTTTCGACGAAGTCTTGACGATTGCAATTATCAAACCTTACGTTGTTTGCGGAAAATCTTTCCCAAGCAAACAATATACTGTAAGAAAAATTACACGAGTTTTCTATTATGGAATTCGACTTTGGTTGGGCTCGAGAGAGAGCCCTATGACACAACGGGACGGGTGACTTTCGTAAAAGGAACGGTAAAGGCCCCTCTGTCACTGTATATTCTAGATCGCAAACAACAGGACAGTGGTTCAGTGGTGAGATACATTGAACTTCTAATCAACAGGTTGCGTGATGGAGCCCCAGACTTTCCATACTTAAGGTTTGGGTATAACTGGCAGACGACGGCTAATAAACCAGCGATGTCCATTTCAGTCTCCCTTTTCTTTGTCGGTAACGTAATTTTACATATATAAATGCATAAGCAAGGGGGGAAAAGAGCTTCGGTGTTAAGGAAGATTGTTGAAACAAAGTCGGCCTTTAACTCCATTTGAATGATGAAATCTTTACAATTCAAAAAACAGAAAACAACTAATTGCCTTACGATGACATACATATGGCTATATTTTAAAAATCTGTGAGCGTTAAGCAAAGTTTCATCCTGGATTGTGGGTAACTAGCAATCTACAGGTGAAATTGTCAAACAGTTTATGCCACAACAAACACGTACTGCACACACCTCAAGTTAACGCAGGGAGAACCCTTCGCATGAATGATGATAAGTCCATTAGCAATATCAGCACCAGCGGCTTTGTACCTAACTCATGCATAACTTACCAAGAATCACAATCCCCCATGACGTAACGGTGCACACCGGGTTTGGCTGAGAAGTTGTCACTGCCCTTTAACTAGCCGTTGCAATCAGCTGCCAGTACATGCAAAGTCAATGTCAGCTCGATAGAAGTACAGTAGATGTGCTAACTCATGAAATGTCAACCAAAATTACGAAATGCGTTCTCGTTTCGAAAAGATAAATTAAGTAGTGTTGTAAAACTCATTATGATGCAGCATAAATCTATAATGATCCAGCTACCTTAGGGTGTCGGCTTTCGAAACAACTTACTTTCGGCTGCATGCAAGATCTATACTCTGCAAAAATGACTACGTAAATAGTATGCAATTTTCTTATTGATTATCGATGCCCTTGAAAATTCAATTATATTTCATGGAAGCCATGCGTAAAAATATTCATTCTTTTACTTATTCGGCACAAAATCACGTCTTCTAGTTCCATACTGAAAAGAAGAGTATAATTCGGTTTAAGAAGACTTTTCTAATTCCTGAATAATTTTGAACCCGACCTGCTGTTACACTTGCATTCAGGGTTTCGAAACTACAAGCTGTGTATTTTCCGTGTACTGAAAACCATGCATTTCTCTACGGTGTTAAGAGGAGACCATATGAGGTTCATAAAATAAAGCAGTGGATTTGAGCAATATTGTTAACTTTACAAGCCACATTCGTAAATGCTGAAACATGATGTTCCATGAACGGCCATTTAACGGTATTAAAACTCCGAAAATTAAAAACGTTTTTAAAACCGAATTATACTCTTCTTTTCAGTATTTATTTGGAAGAAGACGTGATTGCCTACCGAATAAGTAAAAGAATAAATATTTTTATGCACGTTTTCCATGAAATATAGTTGAATTTTGAAGGGCATCGAAAATCAATGAGAAAATTGCATACTACATAAGTAGTTATTTTTTTGCATGCAGCCAAAAATAAGTTCATTCGAAAGCCGACACCCTGAGTTAACTGGATAATTATAGGTATATGCTGCATCATGATTAGTTTTACAACACTACTTAATTTATCTTTTCAAAACGCGAACGCATTTCGAAATTTTGGTTGACATTTCATGAGTTAGCACATCTACTGTAAATAGTTCGTCGTCCATTATTTTATTGGAGGCAGACGTTGCCCCTCTACGCCACAGTAAATGGACCGGTTGCAAAGCCCAGAATGACAATAAGCGGCTATAAACTGTGCTAATAAAAGCAAAGATACGAGTCCCAGGAAGCAGTCTGATGATGGATTCGAGCAGGAATCCGAAACGTCAGGCTAATAAAGCTCTTGTCCCGGCGATCGTGTCTTCTTTTTTAAGGCTATAATCAGTCTTCCATGATTACTTGTCAGGCAGGAGAAAGACGACAGTTCCACTGTCCCTTTCGAAGACAATCACCCTGTTCGCCACGGCAGGGTGACAGCAGGCACGGGGAGTATAATTGCGCAATACATACCGCACACGCTCCTTCTCCCCACTTAAGCAAGATAGATTTAAAAAGACCAGACGCAGGTGGTTGGCACAGCCGGAACCTCACCTAGGCGTGCCACCACACTCTCCTATCCATGACAATCTTGACCAGGATTTAAACCGAAAACAAAATTAAAACGGGTCAGAAAGACGAGGATGAGTACACAGCTATGGTCAAGACGTGTATTCTCAACAGGACCGCAAGCTTATTTACCGGCAGGCAACCAGGTGCCAAGAAATCAACTGCGCATACCAAGCTGCGAGAGCCAGGATTTGCTGAATAATGGCATAGTAGACGTTCACAAACCTTTAGGCGCGGAGAATTGCATACACAACCTTGACCTATCCGGATTACGGACCATTTGTATGGGCGACATCAAAGTGCTCATAAGCCGTAGGAGGCTTGACAGCCGGATGTGAAATTATGTCCCGGTTATGTTGAATTTCCATCTGCTTATCAGGATTAAGGCATTCACCTCCAAAACGAACAGGACAGAGATTTATTAGACAAGGCCTCGTTGCGGAGTGAGAAGTGAAATACAGGCTCATTCGTCAGCTCAGGCGGTCACATTTAGTAATTATGTGATCAGCAGGAGACTTAGCATTTCGAGGCCTACTTACTCGGGCTTGCAGAAAAAAACAGGAAGTGGAATGAGGCTTGCGACGAAAAGATGTAATTTCATTAACTCGACTATTTTAACGGCCTGCGCATCGAATGGGATGCAAACACTTACAAAGGAGATTTTCTAATATATGGACTTGAATATCGCGACAGAACTGACATGTCTTCGTGTTTCATAATGAACGCAGAAACGATCTCAAACACCAGCAAAATGCATATTCAGTTCTTTCTCTTCTTTTCCTGACTTATTACATGTCTCTTGCGTTTTCACTTCTCCAAACGTAAATTCTAAATATTATTGCAGAAAAAACATCGTCCAGGCAGTGGCGTCTATTCGAATGTGGCTGACATAAATGGCCTGACTGGTGCCCCTCAAATGGCAGAATGCGCTCACGTAGTAATTAGCGCAGTGTTAAATTTCACATCTTGAAAGGCCGTGCTTTTCATCTGCTAGCGTTTCATAATAAGACAAAAGGCTCGGGAAGAAGCTAAGGGCTATGGAGTTTGGGAAGGTCCCAGGCAAATTCACTTTTCTGTCTGCAGAAGGTGACTGCCTTGAAAAAGCACCGTATGTGCTAAAGAGCCACAGACTATACTACTGACTACTGAGTTTCTGGATAGATATGAACCGGGTAACTTGGCTGTAGTGGTTTAGAATAATTAAGGACCACTAGATACTGTCGAGCAGCAGAGATGGGCTAAATTTTTTACCCACGAACTTCGACAGAACATGCGGGTGTGGAGAAGATATAAAATGACAGCTTAAATGATCCAGCATTTGTATTTTTGTACCAATAAAACCTTATTTTTGCAGATAACATTTAGGGACGGGAGTAGACTGCTGTACTCCTTAAAAACCTCTCCGGTCTGGACTTTAAACTAGGCGGGTGATACTCTAGCGCTGAAATTCTTTCCCAGCTAGATGTTAATAAAAATAGCAGAGTCCGCTAGAGAGAGCTTTCGCTGCAGTCAAGCGGTAGACTTTATATTTTTCGACTTATAAATTAGCCACAGGCTTCAAAGAAGAGGTTTTTTTTTAGTGAGAAAGCAATTTTCCCAATTATTTCGATTAAACCCTTTCTTCGGTCATTCAAAGAAAAAGGGCAATCCGCACCATAAAGCACTTGTTGAAAAAAGAACAACTGCCGAACTAAATGGATGTTAGCAAAAATGGGAGTATGGGAGCGGCAATTAATTTCCTAAAGTAGAGAATGCTTGAGTAAAAATTGACATATAATAGAAGCGGGAATCATCATTAGACTGAGCAGCGAATCGGCAGCCAAATTATGCTTACAAAGCGGACCAGTGTTCATTTCTAATGCTAGAGCTTCAAATGAGTATTTGCAAGCGAAGGGTTCCGATAACAACGCATGCATCCGATAATTTCTCCGCTCAGGACGTTCATGATGTAAGACGTTAAACAATGCTTCAAACCTTTCGTGCATTTAATCTGTCGGTTTCAAAACAAGCATACTTCACTTAACCATGCCAACCAAATGCATTCCTTAGAGTCGAAAAACGCAGACGTCTGAACCGGTCGCAACGCGCTGACTTTCATGACTTTGATGCCTTTTTAAAGTGAGATCTGGACCTCCTTTACTGTGGCCTGCTACATATTCAGTGGAAATCAAGTCGTTCGTTCTGGCCGTGACAGGCTGTTTTGCTTGTCAATTATTTCGATCACTCCCATCTTTAGTCGTCTTGATTTCGGCCTGTTATCAAAAAGCGCGTAAACCAAAGGGAAATCGAGCCCTAAGATTAATAAACTCATACGTTGTTTACAACTGGGCCCATTTCATTGACGATGGTTGACCTCTTTGTCTGTAAGTGCTAAAATTTCTCGAGTGTGTTGTGTTGCAAAATACCAGACTAACAGCACAGTAACAAGGTGAAGGCCCAGACACGTGTTTCACCGATGGTAACAATCGGGAGATGGCACCCAAAATATCCGTTACCTAGAAATAATACCTTTAACAGTGAACTCAAACGCCTTCAGGCTATATCAGCGGTTGCAGGCCTACTTTCACGCACTACTTTGACTTTCCTCGACCGCCTAACATAGGCTAGCCGAACGAACATCGCACGAAGTAACCTGGACGATGGTCGCTGTTACCCAACCTTACCCATCGTTACACACGTACACCTGAATATACGGCATACATTCGCATTATGGCAGTTTAATACAAAACAAAAATACTTATATAAGTCCTCACAACATGGGACAGGAACGGTTCCCAGGAATCTGTAAAAGACATGGCATTGAGGCCAAACCAAAGATAAATCTGTACTTCGTCTGTGTGAGCCCACACAGCTCGACCACATATAGGGCTTCCCTTGTGGAGTTTCCTTTTCAATCTACTCCAGTATGCCTAAATGGCATTGGTGTGCCGTCCGGTGATATGGTCTTTGAAGTTCTTTGAGTGGTTAACGGAGAAATGTAGACAATTTTACGCCTCCCACTCGTTCGTTACCACTATGCTGTCTTTGGCGACCCATTTTTTAATAACGGAAGGGAGAGCGGGCCCATTTCGATCATTCACCATTTCAAATAAAGCTTTCCGTCGGCTAGTACCGTACATCCCGACCAGCCACCACCCATAAAACCCCTTTTAACACCTGTTCCGTAAGACAGGCTGCTTTGGTTAGGCGGATTTTTTGGGTGCCATCTCCCGATTGTTACCTCATTGATATTCTGTCGCTGCGAGGCGCATTTGCAAAAAGTCGATTTAACATCAGATCCTCAAGCATTCTCTATGTGTGTTCTGGTAGACACTGCAGTTTAGAAATTGTTGCACTTAAATTTCCTCAGAAATCAACTGCCAACTTGGAGTACATCATTTTGAACTAAGGGCTGTGTGCGTAGACCGAAATTGGATGTATGAAAATTTAAGCCACAGCGAGATAACCGGGTATTCATATGCTAAATTTTTGGTTTACCCCTATAGACTTTAGTTTAAACTGACCTACTCAGATTTAGCAGTAAATTTCTGGAAAAGTCTAAAGGTGATAAATTTTAAACTGAAGTATCTACCAGAAAGCACACAAGGAATGCTAGGGGCCCAGTGGTGAGTCAGACCCCTCGCAACTGCGCCATGCAGCGGCAGAATATCGGTGAAACACGCGTGTCACAGAGTTTAGCTAGTACCTGTCCTGTTAGTCCAGTTTTCTGCAGCCCAACATATGTTACTAGCTGCCTGTCAACAGTTAATGAGTAATACGCATTGACTCCTCTCGGACTGATGGGCTTTGTTTCAAGCATTCACATATCAAATTTCGGTCTACGCCTATAGACCTTAGCTAACAGACCTAGTTGGCAGTTAATCTCTGAGGAAATTGAAAAGCAACAATATCGTAAGTGAGCTGGTTGAAGAAGTCTCTAAATAAGCCAGCGCTGAACATGAACGAGGGCTACATAGGCGTGCTGCATACGCGTCTAATACAGAAGTTGCCGTAGTTGGGTTGCTTTGGGCCTGCGAATAGAATAGCATGGGTAAGGAAATAGAGGGCAAGGCCGACTTATCGCAGACTTAGCGGACACATCTCTTTCCAGGGTAGACTAAGATTCCTTGGTCGAATTGTTGGTAGCCAAATTGGTTCTGCTACGTACTTTTGGTCAAGATGCAGTACTTCTTTGTATTTATATTTATTTGTAACAAATTTAACACCACCTTGGTCGCCGGTGATGTAATCTTATTTGAATAAATCGAGAGATAGACACTTCTGGGACACAGGTGGATAAGACCTCAGTGTCAGACGAGTTAACCTTTCTAAAGTGCGTTGGGGGCTAAGTTGGTATCCGTCAGCAGTCTAGGTAGTACGCTAGTCAGACGCCTCTTAGAAAATAGTTGTACTTGCGAATTTAAAAGTACGACCTTCAGTGGTCTAAATGTTTGTCTTTTTTCTGCCTTCTCACTGGTCCTTAAAGGACACGTTTGTTTGAAAAAAAAACACCAATAACAGTAGGGAGCGTATCGATCGATATGAAACAGATCGATACATCACTGTTTTTGGCTTAGTATGGCTTCGGTCAACCGATCAAAATCGTTACACCGTTTTCTATCTAGAAACTCAAATCACAGTTTGACCGTGGAGACGGACGATGTGTACCGTGTGCTCCACAGAAGGGTGTCAGCAGGCACGGTGATCTGTGGGTGATTTAGTATATACTAGTAGTGGATTTGTACTGTATCTACCACACTTTCTATTCCTCCATCATCTGCGATCGGCGTAAAAACATAATAAAGAAGATCAAGGCTGGTGCGGCTGGACTTGTCCCTGGGCGTACTACCACAATCCCTGGTACACTATAAAAACGTGACCAGAATTCTAACCAGTCGCAACTATTAGGGACGGTGGGGGTATCAGCTGACGCGACGTGAGCCCGTAACTGGACCAGTCATCACACCCCAAATGTTGTTATTTTTTATGGTGCGCGTTCCGGTAACACCTTCTAGAACCCTATATGACCCCCGTGTTCGCCGGAAGCACCTATCTTGTGGCCCGTTTGAGGGCAATGAAAAGCATATAAAGGGCTCAAATCCACACGCAGCTTGTACATACTATATATTAGGTCTGCCAGGTGCGCCCTCTTGAATAGAGCACCTCGCCTGGTGACATTTTTAGCCGCTGTTGATCGAGTATTCGTTCACAGAAGGGAAAGCATAGATAGGCCGTTGGCTTCTTGAAGTACAGAGACTCCGAATGGCCGCCGGGGGTCACGAACAGACAACCACCTTGCAGACCGAACTTAAGCAAGCAATGATAGTAAAGGACAGAGGATGGCAGTGAGTCTATACAGAACTATTTTGGATTTATCCTACTTTCACTGGTCCAGTCAACCATTGCTGCCATTTAGGACCTGAAACATGCATGCGCGCACACACGGCTTGGTATATATAAGCCTTACATCAGGCCAAAGTATGTCAGTTCACTATAGCTAGAGACTGGACATAGACGCACACCGATCCAATCACTTCTCGAAGCTAGGAGTTCCTGAATGGTTTACGGATAGTTAATTACCTTCCAACGGAATGAAATATCGTAAACAATGCATTTCTGTAACCACATCTCTATGCTGAATGCTGGTGTAGGGCAATCTGGCCTGACCAATGTGGACGGCAACGCATAGTAGCCCCTTCCATCGGAAAGGGTAGGGTATATGACGTCCATTGATGGTTGCTCAAAAGCCTACCTTCTTATCCTACTCATCTAGGTAAGCTTTATAAAATTTGGCAGACAGTAGGTTGCGATAGTACCTGTGCAGAAAGCGAATTTTACTCTCCGATAGCGGTATCTTTAGCAGGTGGGCTAACTCATGAAATGTCGACCGAAATTCCGAAATTTGCTTTCGGTTGGAAAAGATTAATTAAGTAGTGTTACAAATTCGCCAGCCTGCAATATGATTCCATAATATTTCCTTCCGACTGAATGCAAAACTACACTCTGTAAAAAAGAACTGCCCAATTAGCATGAATTGTTCTCATTGATTTTCGATGCCCCTAGAAGCCCAGTTATATTTCCTGGAAAACATGCATAAACATATATATTCTTTCGCTGATTTGATAGACAATTACGCCTTCTGCGAATCATATACTCGAAGGAAGGGTAAAATTCGGTTTTCCAAAACTTTTCTAATCCCCGAATAAGTTTGAACCTGCTCTACCGTTACACTTGCATTCCGCGTACAAAAAACCACGGCAATAAAGGGGGACTATATAGGGTTCATACAATTTCGCAGTCGATTTGATCCACCTTGCTCACTTTGAAAGCCACATTGGTAAATGCAGAGACGGGACAATTTGTGAACGGTTATTAAACGGTATTTAAAAGTCTGACATTTGGAAACTTTTTAAAGCCGAATTATGTCCCTCCTTCGAGTATAAAATTAGAAGAAAACGTAATTATCTATCAAATGAGCAAAAGACTAATTATTTTCCTGCATGTTTTCCACTAGAAATAATTAGACTTTTAGGGACATCGAAAGTAAGTGAAAAATGGAGTAAGATTGCAGGTTGACTAATTTTGCAACCCAAATTAGTTAATTTTTTCGAAACGAAAACGCATTTCGGAATTTCGGTTGACATTTTATGAGTTAGCCTACATACTGTATATTAAAGCTGTCCGTTTTGAGCTCAAGGCCAGGATTTGGGTAGGAGTTAGAATTAATTAGTTGGATTTTTTGGGACTATGTTGCCGGGCTTGAGCTGTAATGTGGGTTTAGATTTTTAAGGCTTGACTTAAGATTGGCGATTTCCCATTTACAGCACTCCCCTTGGATGGTTTTAGGAATAGGGCTAATTACTCTCCCCCCAAGAGCGTTGCATACAATATCCTTGCAATCAATACGTTCAGCTCTCGTGCAGGTGCATATGCGATACGCGGCATACATCAGTAATAATCGCGGCATCCCGACGGGTCAACTGCTTGCCGGAGATACACGCAAACGATATAGTGGGCTTAACTTTAAGAAGATTTATTGCCCATTGTGGAAACGTACCGTTAGCCTGAGAATGGTGTGTCCGACATAGGTAACGTGTCCTAGTATAGAGTGACATATAAGTTGAACAGACAAATACTTTATTTTCAATGAGTGTCCGCAGATATCCTAAATGAGTCTACAGTGTGCACTACTTTATGTTATATTTGATGTGGTGGTTTATTAATTTCGGTGACGTGCAATAGCGAAGTTCACGAAAACTTCTCTTCCGTTGCCCAAGGCACACAAAATGAGCCACAAAATGTTGCTGTAACTGCTAAGCCAATGTCCTTTTCCTTAAATATGCGCAATTTCCCCTATTTGCATATCTTATCAAGTGCGCAGCGAGGATTGATCCCGAAAATGTGGAAAAGAAGAAGAGTTGGCATAGCTCTTTCTCGCACTTGTGGCCATGTGTATGAAGTGACGAACAGATATTCTTCTTAAAATGAAAAATAAGTTATTCTATGCGAGATTATAGGATCAATACTTATAGCAATTTATAGCTACCTGCGTTCGACGTGAACAAATCTATCTGACAACTACATTTAATAGCGGTTTTCGGAGTCTTTGGTAATCCATTTAAATAATTTTCGCAAATTTCCACGGCCGTTGTGAGACTTAAATCCGAGGGAACGTGGGCAAGGCTAGAGTGCAGCCAGTGCCTTTACCGCCTGAGCTACTACAGTGAGTGACCGATCTCAAGAAATGTTAGCTGAAATTTTGAAATGGGTTTTCGATTAGGAAGGATAATTTGGTCGCGGTTGAAATATTGATTATTTTGCGACATTGTCATATTTCGAATAAGCAGGATGTCGGCTTTTAAATGCACTTCTTTTTAATCTCCTGTAGAAAGCGTGCTCGGTAAAAAAGGACTACTTAAGTAGCATGCATTTTTCCTGCAGATTTTTGATGGTCTTGCAAATTAAAATATATTTTATAGAAACCATAAGCAAAAATATGCTATCTGTTAATCAATCAATAGAGAATCACATGTTTTGTATATTTCATACTTTATGAAGGAGTATAATTAGGTTTCTCCTTCAAGATTATGTACCAACCGCAGTAGGCAGTGAATGGACAGAGAAGTGGGTGGATCCATAAAGCACTGCTTCTGGACTGTTCGACCTACATTTGGCCAATCATAAGCGTGACGACTACTTAAGATCAGAACATATGATTGTCGAAAACAACGTTTACAGATCGTGTGCCACAGCACCTAAGACTTGAGCGTGAATGATATCATGTGGTAATTATATTGACCAAACTGGCCCGCTCGTGTGAAGGAATGCAGCAGTGATACCTCCTTATGCCTATTTCAGAATTAATTCTGTTACAGTCTTGGGAAGAACAAACCTTTGAGCATTTTTTGGAAAGCGGATATACCGTCGGTGTCTTTCAATTCGTTCGCACAAGACGGCTTGGATCAGTGCGCAGATCACAAACAAGTCTTATGTTGGAAGAAATGTAATATCAGAACATTTTGACAAAACTGTGGTCGTTAAATCCTCTGTTCTTTTGGCTGCTTCGACCAAATGAAACATCAAACTCGTGGAATCATAGAGGAAAGGACATATCTACCCGAAGGAATCTTAACCGACTAGAAACTATACAGTGAGTGACCGACCTCATGAAACGTTGGCAGAAGTTCTGAAATGCGTCTTCAATTAGGAAAGATCACTTGGTCGCGGTTATTATACTGATTGTCTTGCGGCATACTCTTATAACACTGCGGACTTGGCAGAATGTCGGCTTTTAAATGCATTTCGTTTAAATCTCCTATAGAAAGCGTGCTCGGTAAAAAAGGACTACTTAAGTAGCATGCATTTTTCCTACTGTTTTCGATGGTCTTGCAAATTAAAATATATTTTATAGAAACCATAAACAAAAATAGGCTTTCTTTTAATCAGTCAATAGAGAATCACATCTGTTGTATATGTTATATTTAAAGAAGGAGTATAATGAAGTTTTAAAAAAGTTTTATAGTTGCCGAATAATTTTAAGCCTGATAATTCATTGCATTAGCGCTTAGTAATTTCAATCTACAATGTGCACGCGTTCCCGTATGAAAATGACATATTTTTCTGTGCCATTAAAGAGATGTCATACACAGTCGATAACATTTTGCAGTGTATGCAGACCAGGTTGTGAATTTCATGAGTAGCAGTGGCAAACGGCCAGGTACGATGATATGTGAATGGACATGTCGCGGTCTCATAATAAGAAACGTTTTTAAAACCTAATTATACTCCTTCCTTAAGTATAAAATATAAAGAAGACGTGAATCTCTATTGATTGAATCAAAGAAAGCATATTTTTGTTTATGATCTCTATAAAATATATTTGAATTTACAAGATCATCCACAATCAGTAGGAAATATGCATGCAACATAAGTAGTCCTTTTTTATCGAGCACGCTTTTTACAGGAGATTAAATAGAATTGCATTTAAAAGCCGCCGTCCTGCCGAGTCCGAAATGTTATAAGAGTATGCCACAAGATAATCAGTATTACAACCGCGACCAAGTAATCCTTCCTAATCGAAAACGCATTTCAGAATTTCAGCCAACATTTCATGAGATCGGTCACTCACTGTAGGTGCTAACGTTTTGGTGAAGGCACTCACCCAGCTTACTGCAACGTATGGAAGCCACTAATTCTGACATGGTGAGTTGACTGTTCAAGTTTCTCCTTCAAGATTATGTACCAACTGTTGTAGGCAGCGGATGGACAGAGAAGTGGGTGGATCCATAAAGCACTGCTTCTGGACTGTTCGACCTACATTCGGCCAATCATAAGCCTGATGACTACTTAAGATCAGAATATATGATCTTCGCAAACGACGTGTACAGGTCGTGTGCCACAGAACTTGAGCGTGAATGATTTTGTAGTGGAGGCAGACCCGAGCAGTCTCCTCATTTCTGCCTCCACCCTCGCCTAATTGACTGCGATGGAAATAACTGTTAAGATGACCTGAGATGGGCATCGGTGTGGCGACTAGAAAGTGAAACACCGCGTGCAACACACGATCCCGCCCATGCCAAATATAGACATGCAGAAATTTTTAGCGTAAAATGTCTAGGGATTATGTGTACCGTATGGGTCATAAGTGCTCACTCGGACAGTGGCTAGTCAGCAGTTCGCCATCAGACAGTTTGTGTCGCTGCAGATCGAGTATTCGTCCAAAGTGGAATAGGCGCAGAGTACCCACTTGGTGTCTAGGAGGAAACAAATTCCAAATGAGCGCGAAAGATCAGGAACATGCAATCACCATTTAAATGAAAGCTGGAGGAGTAAGTGTGACCTAAGGTTTTTCTTCGCAATGCCCGTTTTTCGAAAGAGTGACAGATAATATGCGTTTAACCCCTTACTAAAGGGGGAGGCGTTCAATGTGTCCGGAAATGCTACTGTCCCTTATTGAATTCAGCCTAGGTTGATGGATTTGATTGTGAATCCAAAACAGCAGACAAATAAAACACTTGCAAGGGGGTTCGTGTCTCCCTTCTCCAGACGGTACAAATTGGGAACCTGACATTTACAGTAGCTGGGCTAACTTATGAAATGTAAACCGAAATTCCAAAACCCGTTTTCGTTTCGAAAAGATTAATTAAGGAGGGTTGTAAAACTAATGACTATGCAGCATAATTCTATAATAATTCAGTTACTTCAGGATGCCGGCTTTCCAATGAATACCTTTTCAGCTGCAAGCCAAAGCAGACTCTGCAACAAATGACTGCTTACGTAAAATACTTTTCCTCATTAATTTTCAAATCCCTTATAAATCCAATTTTATTTATTTATTATTGTTTTTTTATTATTATTTTTTTTTTATTTTTTATTTCATGGAAAATATGCATGAAAGTATTTGTCCTCTTGCTCATGCGGTAGAAAATGATGTCGTCTTCCCATTTTATCCTAGAAGAAGTGTTGTACTTTGGTTTTTAAAAAATGTATCCAACGTTTGAACAATTTTTACCACGACCTGCAGTTACACTTGCATCCAGGGTTTCGAAACTACAAGGCGTATATATCTGCGTAAGAAAAAGCAATCTTTTCTCTACGGTATTAAAACCCTCACAATTAGAAACTTGTGAAACCGAAATAAACCATTTCTTCGGGTATACACTTGAAAGATGACGTCAGTTGCTACCAAAATAGGAAGAGAATAAATAGTTTTAGGCATACTTTGCATAAAATATAAATGAATTTTTGAGGGCATCCAAAATCAATGAGAAGAGTGTATGCTACGTAAGTATTCAGCTGCTGAAGAGTCTAGTGTTTACATGCAGCCGTAAAGAAATTCACTTGAAAGCCGGTATCCTGAGGTAACTGAATTATTATAGAATTATGCTGCATAGTCATTAGTTTTACAACCCTACTTAATTAATCTTTGCAAAAAGAAAATAAACTTTAGAATTTCTGCTGGCATTTCACGAATTAGCCAATTTACTCTATCAGCGGTGGCAACATACATATGATTTGTACGCTTTCGTCTGAAAGCCTAATGCATATGATAATGCGTCTAGCTCAAAGTAACTACGTCATTAATTGGCTATTAATTTGCCTAGTTTGTCGCGAACGCTTCACAGGGCAGAGTTCGGTGTTGCGTGAGGAGGATAAGTTTGAATTTACTAATATAACCTTTTCCTCAACCAGAACTGCGGCTTGCGGTAATAAGTGTTTTTCTTAGGCGACTGTTCGTGAAAGTGTAGTTCATTCTACAGAATCCACTATTTAAGATCGGGCTTATTGCGGTGGCCTATCAGTTTGACAGACGTTAAACTGCAGCAGTCACGAAAATGGCTACTCGCTGCCCCAATTCACTCAGAATTAGGTATAAACTGATGGTTTTTATTGCAGCAAACGCCTTTCTGGCAAACTAGAAAAAATCGAAGTCTGTTTCGATTCTGCTCGCAATTATGGGCACGCAAGGCAAAGTAGGAGAAATATTTTATAAATCCGAGAACTTTATGCAACTCTATGTTGTATGAATCTTAAAGTCTGTAAGCTTCCGCTATTTTTGGATCTGAAATGAATAAAGTAACCATATTTTCGTGTATGTTTTCTATGGAATATTTTTACATTTATAAGAGCGCCGAGACTAAATAGAAAAAACACACGTGAATTAAGTAGTCGCATTTAACCATGGTGGCAATACCTCATATACATCCAATTTTAGCTCATCCGATGCTTGTTCGTGTTTTTGGTTGTGACGCATGTAAGCTAAGAACGGCCAACCGGAACTTACTGTATTTTTCGGTAAAAACCTCTCACTTAGTATGCCCATTTTGATCAATATAGTTCTACGTTGCATTCCTGCTGAAAGTTTCTGGAGTTTGAAGTAGACTTAACTGTAGTCCTTTTGCTGAATGAGACTGAGAAAACTTCCAGGAAGACATTCTCGTTGCTAATTTGTGCAAAGTAACTTATAAAATCTGTGTCATTAAAAACAAAGAGACAAAAGCGCAGAAACATGGAAACAAATTTATACTTTCATTGTCTTTAAACGGATTCAGGAGGTTTCATGATCTTCAAACACCTAATTAGGTTCAATTACTGGTTGCCTCATACAAAGCTGATCGCTATGTAAATAGAACTCAGTTTCCGTACTGCTGAGATTTTTAAATGGGTAATGATAGAGTGCAAGACTCTCAAGTAGACGGCAACTGAAAAACTGTATTATAGAATTCGTTGTGGCCGTAAATACCTTTTATTGTTAACCATCATATTGCCTGAAATGTCTTTCACTTCCTGACATAATGCAAACATAGCAGTGACATTGCATTCAAAGTTTGCTATAACTTTAAACTTCCTTTTTCTTATTATTTATTGTCTTGCTCAATTTCTTTGCTAAATGACGGCATATGACAAGATTTTCGGCAGAGCTGTGTTTGTTTTCTTTGTGTTCGTACGCTCTGTCGTCTGTGTTGCTCCATCCGAAAAATCTCCAAAGCCCTTTATCACATGACATGGTTCACAGGCTAGTTCAAGTTAGTTTCCTGTCTTACAGTCTATCGTTGCCACCAAATTAAATGTCAATATATCCTAAAACGCATTATTGAAACAGCTGGTGATTTAGGTCGTCGGAATTGCACCATGAAAAAAAGGTTCCTAAGACAAAAAAATCAAATGAGGACTAGCATGTGCAAGCCTACTGTGTGCAGAGCAATCTGTTAGGTTGAGTGTCTGAGGATTTTTCCGTATGACGTGAATATACTGTTTTGATTAGCAAGTTTTTAAGCGATAACGCAAACTACTGCTTGATGATAGAGCGCGCGTCTATTCTCAGTTGTTGGAATAAAGCACTGGGACAAAAGACGAATGATAAGTAACCTGCTACGGGCATATATGTTGTCCTAATTTAACTTGGATGTACTGGGGAATTTCTGTAGCATTTACGATTCCACCAAGACGTAGGCGCGTGTCTTGCATCTACCCCATAATCAATTATCCATTTCGACTACGTTTTCTGTATTTTATTTGGCGAAAAATACCCTAAATGTCACCTGAAATTTGTCACATTCGAATATTAACAAGTCTTCTGCCAAAAGCAACCTTATGAAATAAAACCATCAGTAAAAAACTGCGAGGTAGCTGATTTTTTTCCATGACCCATCTGACGCTTGACAATATTATGTTGAGTTTTACTTTTAAAAAGCCTATTTTTCCATGCTCTGTAACAAATACGATTCCTCTAGGGTAGCGAAATATCCAGGGTGACAATATAATTCTACGTCATTTGTTAAATAAGTGACTGATTGTCTTTTTTATTGACATGTTAGTTAAAATTTTATTTCCATGCTTGCAAACGTACTCCCTTCCTATTAAATATTATCGACGGGAACAAAGTAAAATACTAAAGGTCCCTTTTTATTGCGCCTGGCTATGCAATTCAAGTAAAATAACACTTTTTTCAAAGTCGGCGTCTGAATTACTATGGAAACCCGCTTTTAATAATTGTTATTCCAAAGTTTTTAAAATCTGGAAACACCTAACCGCTCAAGCTGCCTAGTTCATGCAATATCAGCTGTAGTAATGAGTAAATGGATTTATATCAAAGGACCGCGTCTGAACTTCATAGAAAACCACTGCAATGAACCTCTTAACCTTTCATTCACTCAATCAATTCCTGTAGTTAGGACGACGTAGGATGTCAACGGCGACTTCATCAGAAATCGATCAATTTTCAGCACTACGGAAAAATACAGCTAACTATAATGAGCTTATACTAGAATGCAGTGGTTGGATCGATAATATTAAACGTATTGTTTTCAAGGGAAGTGAATATCGGACAGAAACGAACACCGTGACACATATATTTACCAAATTTACTGCATTGGACGAATCCTTCTGAGATTATATGGCAATAATTTACGCTTTAGTTGCAGCCCTTATGGGCATAAAGCGCTATTTTTTAGAAATACAGGATATCACGAAAACACTTTAATTTGAACAGGTACAATTTGAGTATTACCGTTTTATTGCAGTCTTTTTATCATTACGTACGCGGTTTTTCTGGCTGAAAGGGCTTAAGCAAATTACAATAGATATGCTATCTCATAAAGTGTTGGCCTAAATTCTGAACAGTAGTTCCAGTTCAAAAAGATTACTTAAGTAATGTTGGCATAATGTCGCATAAGCTCGAGATATTCCAGTCATGCCAGAATGCCGGCTATTGAATGAGCTTTTAGCGTAAATTATGCTACACAATTAATGCCTGCAAAAATGGTTTGAATTCTATCCATTGGTATTTGATGCCTTATATATAATACCATATTTTATAGAAAGTACGCATAACGATATTTTTCTTTTGCTCTTTAGGTAGCAAATTAGGCAATTTCAAATTTTTAACATGAAGAAAGAGTAACCTTCGTTCTTCGAAAACTTTGAAAATGCTTTTAAACCCAACCTGGCGTTACATATGCATCCCAGATTTCCACATTACAGGCTGCATACTTACCGTTTAGTGAAAATCCCATATTTCTGTATGCTACTAAGAAAAAGTCGCACAGGGCTCATAACGGATATGGACCGCGATGTCCACTTTGCAAACAGATAAAACAAATAAAACAAGACAAAAAGACATTAAATTATGGTGTACGGCCGTAGGTTTCATAACCTTAAACATCTCATAATTTCAAAGCTTTTTTTAAACTGAGCTATACTTTTTAAACCGAAATATACTCTTTCTTCAAGCATTAAATTTGAATTAGACGTTACATAAGATCACAAAAAACGAAAGGAAAATTTTTTCGTGTATGTTTTATATGAAATGCAGTAGAAATTAAAGGACACCGAAAGGCGGTAATAAAAATTTATATTAGATGATTAGATATTTTTTAAGGGAATTTAATGTTCGCAAGCCTTCGATAAAAAGCTCATTCGAACGAATGCATTCTGACTTTGCTGGAATATCATAACATTTTACATGGCGACTGATATGATAACCTTTCATATGCACTGTTTATGAAGTGAAAAAAGATTACAGAATTTCAGTCACAATTTCGTGATATATTATATCTACTGTATTCCTAGCGATTCCTCGTCACGCCCTTGTCGCTATGGGATGCCGAAAGGCTTAGAAAATTCATTTTTTGTGACGTCTTTGCAAATGTGACTAACAAGGGCGACCACAGAATTTCCCTCTCAAGTGTCAACATGTGTCGTATATTATTTCGTGCAATGTTGAATTTCACATCCTGAAAACCCCTTGTGCTATTTAGCCAAAAGTTGGAAGGAGAAAAGCGTCTAAGGGCTAAAAATAAGTTCCTTTTTTCTATTTTCGATAACGTGGCGAAGAGTGATGTGACCTGTACAAATCAGCATTTCCCATCAGGGCGTATGCGACCTTATCGGAGCCGATCCCTTCTACTGAGCTTGATGTAAGATGGAGCTTTGCGTGATGGGTTAGCTTTTTGAGTGCAGCAAATCTGTAATGGTTACGAAAACGTTTCTACCATCGACTGAGTAACTCACCATTTAGACATGCATCATAATTCTGAGTTCTAAAATGCGACTTATCTCATATTGCCAGCGGATTCGTGCGCGCATCTAGAATCGTTTTGAGAGACTGTAAAAACCCTGACATTGACGCCTGCAGTAACCGAACTGTCTCGAGAGTATGCTGCACGGTATTTTATCTAACAACCATACCTGAGTAATAGTTTCGAGTCGAAAACGCATTTCAGGATTTCGATTAACACTTCATGCATTAGAAAATCAACCGTGGCTGTTAGAGAAAGAAGTAGGACCCATGATGCTCAAGTGTTTGGAACCTATATTTTTGATGTGACATAGGAACTTTTCAGACTTGGTTTTATTGTTTTGGGGGATATTATTTCAAAGGCAATTTAGACGTGCATGAGTCCAAACCCTGACGTCTCATTGGAGATGCCGGACCGGATAATGCGGTCGGCAGCCGACTTTTCGGATGAGAGAGATTGTGCTCCCCAGAAACATGAGGACGCGATGCAAAACGACAAGACAGTGCATTAGAAGTCGCTGACGTTATTGGTGGGATAAATTGCATGGCTAGAGGAGACTCATTGTTGATGAATAGATGTGCGGCCAAACTCAACCGAAAGGCCTAGATAGAGGGTAAACATGGACGTGTGAGTCACAGCGTTCTACGCTTTCCCACGGAGTGAAAGTTTTCAGCGCACTACATACCAACGCCTAAGCAGTATTACGATCAATTGTAATAATACGGTGTCTCATGTAATGTATTTTAAAATAGGACAAAAACGAAGCTTAGTAGATTTGCAAAGATCCACATAGAAGGATTCAGAAGACCAGCTGGCGTACGCACGTGCGTTTGTGACAAATTATCTTAGGCCAGTGCATTTATACGGGAGCGGGATAATATAAATCATTCGAGAGATTAGAGAAGTCGACTACAGTTCGTCTGTTCATGCAATTGGGGTGTAGAAACATGGAGTGTGAGGAGTAGGAGACAGTGAGTTAGGAGATAGTGAAAGTTGGATAGACCGAGAGGAGTGCGCAAAGAGATGCATGCAGTTGACCGGCCTTTGACTACGGTAGATGCGAAGCTTGCACCGGCTACTTCGATGCGCAAAACAGCGCGTTTCATAACGTGATGGCAGTTATCCCTGTAGCTCCTAGCATACTTTGACTCCGTGGCCTGAAATAGTTCAGTAGAGCTTTGTAAATAACATGAAAGTCCGCGCTAAGTGTCCACACGATGCTTGGAATCAACACGGTAAGCGAGAATAGCGCCGTTTACACTTTTATTCTCGTCTCCCAGGTAGTGCTTCCGTACTCTTTTGGATAGACGCCTACTAGCGCAACGAGTTTAATCCGATCCACAAGAGTAAGCAAAGGAGTAAACACAGAAATAGATGGTCTGGAGTGGTTTGTCAAGAATAAAACACAAGTTCTTGCAACTGGAAAAATTCATCAACCTACGTTTTCTCAGGAGTTCTTCCGCTTCTCCCCCTCATGAAGGGACACTCAGAAACAGCGTTTCTGTTCTGCCGTCATTTTCTTAGGTTTTGCGGGTCTATCTGTAATATTCTCACAATAAATCTGTCGGGATATCCGTCCTCACTATCTGCCAAACAGAGTATTGCGCCAACCGCGGACTAGACTGTGCTTTTGCTGAAGAGATATGAAACTGTAGAGGTTTTATGTATTGTCCAGGCCAAGTTTTTTTTTCGAACGCTATTGTCAGCTCTTCTGCCTTGAAGATATTTAGGAATGACAGGAACCTACAGTTTCCCCCTTCACCGTACCCTTCATGGATTTACGGGTCTAATTTACAGCATTTAAGAGGCAGATGTCTTGGTTTCTGTGGTGTCGATTAAAAGGATATCATTGACATTGGCACTTAAATATTTTAGCCTCTTCATTGGGTCATGATGGACAGATTAAGGAAATTTTAACCAGAAAACCTTCTCACAACTCAGTTGTAATAAAAGATGAACTGTGATGGAATTTATTTAACTTTCTCAAGTTTTGCTTATACCTTGTTCCCATATAAATCTACAGAAAGCACACATATGCTCGTCAAGTGGTCTTTTGTGGTGGCGATCAATATTTTGGAATGCACTTATGCAATGACAATAGTATACATAATATAACTGTAGCATGACACAACTAATAAAGGTAAGGGGACTGGAATGGCTATTTCTGGTTTACTAGCCGTTGTCGTCCAGCTACAACAAACCCCGAGGTGTCCAACACCTGGGTCTAGATCACGCGACATGTTTGTTGGAAGTTCTACGCCATGGCAACTGAGCCACGGGCTTCGTGTGCTGTAGACATCGGTTGGGTACACGCAATGGTAGAGGGGCGCCCACCGGTCGTTTTCACGGAAGTCATTCGTCCCGTTGGGCCCCATAGGCTCTCTTTCGGGACCCCCGAAAACAACCGCACAGCGCGCGCAATATAGGCGGAATATTTTTTACTGACAAGGGCAACGGAGACCCGAATAACATGTTCTGGCTAATTAGCCGTCGTCAGCCAGCCATACCCATCCCCGAGATGCGCCTCAGGCGAATGACGAAAGAGTCGATTTGAGGCGCCATTAAAACTACTGCGCCGGAGCTTCGAGGCTCGTAGAACAAGCCTCAAATGTCACCGACAACTGAAACCTCTACCAATTCTTTTTGCACATTATCGTGGGTTTTGAGTGTCTGCTCGCGATTTGGTCGATCGCTTGAGTAATGACGGAATAACCAAGAGTGAGAGCTAGTGTGGGCAGTTCGAAAGCTTTCTCAGCCTTGGGGACCGATCAATCGTCGCTTATCGTTCCTCCCAGACTGAATTTTAGGCGTCTTAAACCTCTTTACTGTCGTGTGGCTTGAATAGTCAAGAAGAAATCACTTCCATATTAAAGGGGCTCCTGGGGAGGACGACATTTTTGCTGTGGTATATACACCAAGCATCAGCACTCTGGTGGCAGATATTACTCATTCATAACAGCCTCTCTCAGTCCTTAAACATCCGATCTGGCTTTCAACGGGATTACATACTTTCACCCGGTCTGCTCCGTTTCCTCATCGACAGGATTATCTGAAAGGTATTGCGCGAGTTTGACGGTACCCATGTTGCATCCGGACATCGACTGATGGGTCTCAACTACAGCCCACCACATTGTCCTTTAAGTGTCAAACAGGGACACTTTGCGGAATGTGGTTTTGCTGCTGCCGGCGTTTTAACAGTTCTTCGGAAATAGCTATGAACCAAAAGCGATTCCTTTCTTTCCACAAAGTTCGGCTCATGCTGCGGATCAGGTTAGCTAGTGCTCCTGTACCGTCGGGGACATTAAGCTATATGCGCGGAAAGCGGGTAAAACGAGGGTCGTCTGTCCGAAAAATCTCCTTAGAATAAAACACATCCACATCGTCTGGCGTGGGACAGTCTGAACAGACTGAGGGGTGTATTTTGTCAACGTTCCTTATTGCCGTTTATTCAGCAATGTTATTTTCCTTGAGAATGCGGACAAGAGGCCGACTCCAAATCCCCTATCACGCAGTCCGTAAGGACATTCACGTGGTTCATGGACCCTCATATTAATTCTCCACTACTACAGAAGTAATGGATCGACCAAACAGACTTACCCCCAAATCATCGACGTTGGCTAGATCAGGTATGATCAAAAATATTCCCAAATTACAGTAAGCCATTATGATCATTTGTGCAGAAAATAATAAATGGGAGTCACGCATACGCTCGGTCACAAAAAGTCTACAGTGCTTCGAGGCGTTAGGCAGGTCAAAGAATCGTTTGCAAAGATTCTGTGATGTCAGATGAAAAGGGTAATGCCCCGATTCTGATACATCCCACGTTAACAAAAGTGTGGGATAATTTCCTCACCAGTTTGATATTTGGCAAGTTAGCTTCATCAAATTGAATGCTTACAAAGCCATGAAGAAGCAAAAGGGATTTACGTTCCTGCGTTGTTGCAATAAACATTGTCGCGGCTCATATGCGAGTGTGAGAGATAAAGACATTCAAACTACTGTATCTTCTTTAGTTGGAAGTTATGCTCGATCTCAGCCTTCTGCAGTTCGACGCACGGGAGTGGCAATCGAGAGGGACTCAGAGGACTGGTCCCGTGAAGGTGGTGAATCACATCGTAGTAGGTGGATGTAGTGCAGATTCAGAAAAAGAAGAATAAGAAACGATCACTGGAACAAGGCGTTTTGTTGTATCTTTAGCGTGGAATGTTGAGCGCAGCATGATCGGTCAACATGTACGCCGCGTCTGAGACTAGGACGGTAAGCTGGAACTCTACCTATAACTGATGGAATCCTCTGATTGAGGGTATGATAATCCTGTAGTGTTTTGCGATCCCCGGCACTCCATCAGAAGGTCTGAGGCAGAGAGTTTACGAAATATTTCGCATGATCGCTGCCGAGGCCTGTTTTCAAGGTAGCTCTTACCATAAGTAGCTGAGTCAGGTAGTACAATGCAAGGATAAAGCGAGTTATTAGATCATGGTCCATTACGACCAGACTGTGAAGACAGCCCGATCCGCTAGACCGCACCTTAGGTCTATCGGTTGATGTGATCCTGACAGTTAGTCAAGAGATCGTGGACAGCAATAAGATCTGTAGCAAGGATGATAAAGGGGATTTCAGTGACAGAGGAATTGGGAACTGAAGACAACACTTAAGAACGAATTGATGCCCTACGCTTTCAAAAGAGAATACAGCAGAAATTTTATGGTGATGTGGGAGAAATCCCACTGATGCCAAGTCTAAGTAAGTCAAAAAGGGCGTCCGTATAGACATTAGCAGAGGGAGACACAAAAATACTCCGTTGCAGGGCGTCAGCAGCTCTGGGAGGCTTCGTAAAGACCAACGAGGCACTAGCAAGGACTTGGAGATGCCAGAAAGTAGCGACGACCAGATTTTGAACGGATTCTGTGTTGAAGGGAGTTTGGTGGAATACCCATCTCGGAGAGGTGATCTCATCACACATGATACTTTCAACTTCAGACCGTGTCATACGTTGGATGGTGATTAAGGGGGAGTTCTGAGTGGAGCAACACACAGGAAGAAGTGCAAGAGACCACAGAAAAAAGGTACTTGGCAAAGAATGTGGGCGCAACGATTGAAAAATAAACAGAAAGCAATTTCCAAAAAATAACGTACCTCGAGTAGAGCGCCGTTCGCATGTTCTCATTTATTAAGGGAGGGAAGGAAATTTCTAGCAATGTGAACGGTGAATAATAAATGATTTTTACAGCTGCACATAATTTTATGGCGTATTTTTGTAGTTACCATCGTTTGGTGGAACCTACACCATGTCTTCACCTCAGATGCCTGCTAAACGGGTTAGCGTTTTAGTACTGTTTCATAGAGGAACATTCGAGGAGGCGTATGCGATATATGAGCAAAGGCATTCAGGTTATTTCGAATTTATGAAGATTTCCCAAAAGAGTGTTTGGTAAATAGACTTTTACGTCCCGTAAATTATCCTTGGGTCAAAGCGTTCATATAGTAACGGAGTGCATTAAGGGACCTCAAGTAATTTTCGTCAATTCACGCGAATTAATGCGAGATTGGGACGCAATTTGAGGAGCTATGTCAGACGAAGCGTAGGAAGATGCGGAAAACTGCTGATTAACCGACCTTGAGCCGAGAAAAGTGCAGGACATGCGCTAAATTCATCTGTGCTCGCAAGGGCAACAAGCGTAATTTGTTTGCGACCGCATATGTCGCTGCTAATAAATGCCCTCCCGGTGGTTTCAACGAGTCCACTCGGACCGTGTGAATCAGTCGTAAGGGTCCACTGGGCACCAGTAGATGCCAGAAGCTAAATGTATACGTGAGAATGATGCTGCTTACATTCCCACTTTCTGTTTTTACCAGTCGTGCTGAAGGGTATTTACATATTCTTCCAAAAAGACCCTGACTTCGGTGTTTATTCTGATTAGTTCAACTGCATTAAGTCCAACAGTAACTGCCCATAAGAGCGGCCTTGCAAGCATATAATTCCTAATTTTGAAGAATGCCTCCTCTCGATCTTGGCTTTTGGCAGAAAAAAGAGACACAGAGCAACCGATGTTGGCTTTAAAAGTGAGTAGTCAGCTTTTTTTCTGCTTGCCATCCACGAGAGGATGTTTGTGATTGTACATCAGTTGTTCACTCTATTTGTCGGCACTTATACCTTCCCTATTGCTTGTGAAGCCACATTACCTCGACCTTTTAACTTCCCACAAAAATGTGCTCTCTTATATAGTACGAAACTTATTCTTTTATTCGGCGACTTTTATTGTGTGAACCCACGTCCCCGTAGTCTTTACGGCTTCAAAGACCTTGTTTTCCTTTATATTCGTGCCGACGCCGCTCTTTATAACAACTTACTTAATCGTCCTATGTTTTTTTTTAATTTTGAAAGGAGAGTTTTCCTGCCTGGTCGGACCATTCACCATTATAGGGCCTTCCTGACATCTACTCAACTTCTTTGTGCGCATTATTAATCAAAACAGGGAGGAAATTTACGGTTCGCGACACCTTCCACATGCCTCATCCAAAACCCTAATATTAAACGGTTTTAATCATACAACGGCGGCTGAATTGAGCCGGGGGCCGATATGGGCGAATATGATGATGGCAGCCTCTAGGGAGTGGATCCTTACACTGTTCCCGTGTCTTTTATTTTGACTGGTCTGTACTAGCACACCTAATAACTTTAAAATGTAATATTGTCCGCCTGCTTTTGGTCCTTTTCGATTATTCAGGGAGAGAAAGCGGGGTAGACAGCACTTCTTCTCATTCATCCGCCTTTTCATACTCCTTGCCTCCTTCTCCTTCTCCTCCTCCATCTCCTCCTCCTCCTCCTCCTCCTCCTCCTCCTCCTCCTCCTCCTCATCATCATCATCATCATCATCATCCCTCTTCTCCTCACCGTGACCATCCCCACGCCCACCACTATCACTGCCATCATAATCGTCGTCTTTCTCTTTATTTCTACGTCCTTTCCTCTTTTTTCTTGTTGGCCCATGGTCGCCGAGTAATTATAATTCCCACTTTTAGAAAACACCCATACAAAGCTCCAATAACCCTGACTTGTATGTAGATGCTGAACGTTTTTTAATCTTCATGAAGCAATTCATGGCAAATCCTCATTTTGGCTTATGAGTTTTTCCTGAGCATAGAAATTTTATCGGACAGTCATCTGCTTGACGTTTATAGGACCTGATTAACTCTCCTTAAGTAGTCGCCGTCGCAAATGCCATCAGTTTCTCTTGAAATCAGACTATTTCAAACACGAAATCAGATCGTTAACATTCTTAGTGTCTGTATGGCATCGCCACCTCAGAACTGAGGGTACAAATGCAAATGTCATGGTATAGGAAAGATTCACATGCGCGAAAAATCAGATAAAGTGTCGTTATGCAGCCCCAACTGATGGATACGCTATTGTTGGGCTAGGGTATAGGGCTTCGGTTAAGGGTTAAGATTAGGGTCAAATGATTAGTGTTAGGGTCAGGGGTTAAGGTAGGGGGTCAAAGTTAGGGGTCAGGGTTAGGGGTTAAGACAAATATTTCTCAGCCACTCAAAGTGCAACCGCGCATTCCCAATAGCTTTTCTTTTGCATACAGTTACTTGACCTCGTCGCCTGTGCGTTCCCCGGCCCCATCTGTAAAAACCCATATTACCACCGGTCCCGTATTACGGGGGACTGGGTTGTTTTTTAACTCGGATGCAGTTATCTGACCGACAACTCTTTCAATACAGGAATTTACAAGAAAATTAAGCATTTTTGTAGACTCTATTACATTTTTAAGACGAATCGTACTTTAATAAACGCATTTTTTCTATTGCCCTACATATGAATCTTGGGTCGAGGGCAGTATTACTGAACCCACCAGTTTATTCGAGCGGTGCTTGGACCATAGGAGACACATCTTTAAATACAAGCTTGCAAAAGCCAATTAATTTTTTTTGTAAACGATCACATTCTTAAGATGACGTTATAAAGATCGGTAGCGACCGTGAAACAGTTGTCTGTGTCTGGTCTGTCTCACTCTTAGGGAGCCCAGGCCCCACCGGAAAAAAATTCCTATTACCGCCGGTCCCTTATTAGAGGTGACTGGGGTTTGTGTACTTCACGTGGGGCTACATAACCACATCTGACCCGACATCAGCTTAGTTGAGCATTATTGGTTTCATACAAAATTTATTGAAATTTGGCATAAATTTTTTCAGATGCTTGCGAGGGAGATAACTATTGTCGTGAAAACGGAGTAGAAGAAATACGTTTTTTAATTTTTCCACGTTCCCAGGAATTCCAGCGGCAACGGTAGGTTGAAAGACCTCAATTACCTATCGGTATAATTTGGATAGTGTCATAGGAGAATGATGATAATGGAAGGAGGTTTACGGGTTTGCTTAGACGCCGGACACTAAGCCGACGAAATGCAGGACAACGTAAGAAATGGACGGTGAATAAAAAGGTATTTTCGAGGAAAATGATGAATGTATGTGGATATGGTATCCAGCTAACTATTCCATGGCGTTCCGTATTGAAGGGGTGCCTGACCAGTTAACAACTGGGCCTACCCTCTGGCAGACGTTTCTGTTATCCCTCAATTCATGCCCTGTCGATCTCCATCTTTCGTTTCACCGCACTTGGTCACAACTATCCGCCGTCGGTACTTAATTATATTTCGCAATTACATACACCAGCACAAGATCCGCAGTCTACCGACAGGTAAATGAGGTCCTTCACCTTACCGCTGCCTGTTAACTTCGCAGTAAAGACTGTGAGTTCAGACAATTGAAACCTTGCTCCGAAAAGGTCACCCTTCTTTGCATCAATTACATAATACGGATATATATTATATACGTGAGGTTACATGAACGCTTAAATGAGTCGCTGAATGCTGACTCACACATCTCATTTCCACGTCTTCAATGTAACACGAATATTAGGTTTTAGGATTACCGGCTATAAACAAAGTGTGGAAGCCTCTTTATCAGTGGAACAAATCCATCACGAAAAGCCAAGTACACCTCTCGGGCTTCAGACACATGAAATGGACTTCTTCAAGGCCTGCCGGTTAATTCATCTGCGCGATCCTTCGGCAATTTGTGCTGTAGGCTTGGCGTGCAGTGAATATTACACTAAGTATATGCATTACGCACCCACATATTTTTTGCGCCGCAAGTTTGAGTGATGTTTATTAGCGCGCCTACCATGAGAAGATATGTTCGCAAATGCTTATCTCCTTCGCATGACCGAAAATATCGTTTAAAAATTAGGCTCTCGAATTTTGTCACGAGCTCGATGTTCTCGTCTGCTCGTATAAAGCGTAATTAGCTCGAACTATTTCGGTAGCTAAGTGCAGTACCGCACGTTATCATAAGTCATATGTTGCTCAATCTGGTTTATGTTAACACATCAGCAAAATATTTTTTGCGTCAAATGAGTGATATGAATCTTAAAATTAATGACCAGTTTCAGAGACTAGCTGACAGTTGGACGGAAACGGTTCCCTTCTACAGAGTAGAGTGACAAAACAACCTGTTTTGTTGTTGTTGATTTTGTTGATCTCGTTGTTGTTGTCGTCATATATCGTCAGTGCGACCCATTCACGTCAACTATACGAAGAATTTGACGTATCCAACTCAGGCAACAATATAGCACTTGAAAATATTAACACAAGATGCACCGTCATTTTCGGCTTACGCCCCTCCCCGGTATGTGCAACGTCTATTAAGAACTCCATGAGTACGCAATTGATAGGTGTCTGTTTTTCCAAAATAAAAATCAATATTATGCGAAACTTGAAACCAATGGAAAAAAGAACAAAACTGAAAATTCCATTGCTTATTGTACTTCTCAGTCGACATCCAGATGGAGATCTGGCAGTCACTGCATGAGAGGGTTTGCGCAAACAGCTCAGCTCCTGGTGAATAGATGCGAGCTAGCCACTTCCAGGAAGAAGTTTAGTAAAAGAAAATATGATTGCTAGGATAAAATGTTTATTGTAATGACATTTTGTACTTTTACTCGAACCCATTATCTGCGACTGTCTCTGATCAGGGGTTCGAGGGAGAATTGGAATCGTTAGGCCAACAAGCATCTGCTTCTATTAAGCACATATTCTTCTACTGAACTCAGTTTCCATTTAAATCTTACGGCAATTGCCCACTAGAGCATTAGCGTCCTTCGCGAATGCAGGTGCATATATAACGCTACGCCGAATCAAAGTCGAACGAGACCCGATTTCCGTGAGACCATTTCGGAGAGGACGGCAGTCCCAGTGCCCTCATAAACTGCAATCGCACTGGAAGCAAACAACGTATGACTGTGATTATGTGGTATGCATCGCATCCGGCCAGATAATGAGTCCTTAATTTCCTGCACGTTGACACCGCAGAGAGACTGGTCATCGCATTGTAAGATCACAATCATCAGTGGTCGAAGAGCAGTTGAATGCTATCTATCACGTTCCGCACACCGTCTAGATGAGTCAAACTGTGCGGAAACTGGGCATTCGGTTCCACGAGCAGAAGAGGACAGGTCGATAGCAACACCCGCTATCGCACCTATTTGACCGGCGTTTAGACTGACATAACAACTTTTACTTTGCTGCCATGCCAATGGTTGGGCTAGCCGCCCGCAAGACCGCTCCGCGAGGCGAGAATCACGGAACAAACGCGGCAAGTTCGCATGCACATAATAAACATTAAGACATCGGACTGAGAACCACAGCTCGACCACCGAGTTGATGAGTATCACGAAGGGCAATAGCATATAACCGATGACCAAATTGACTCGATAGTACATTAGTTAACGATCTATGTGTTGGTCTTTTCATTAATCTGACGATTGGCATAAGAAGGCGCCCCAAAACCCGGGTGAGTAAACAATTGTCCTCAGCAATCGACTCCGTAATTCGACAGGCCGACTGTCCGGCCTGCGCATGTTCTCGACGTTGCGCGGACGAGAATCATGGTGCACGTTGGAGTAAAACTTTCTTCGGTCAAAATGTCTTTTCCATGGAAGTAGCGTTGTTTGTGTTCCGAGATTACTTACGGTATGTCAACTCAAAGAATGAAGAATTAGATAATGATTGTCGCCAATACGCATGTGATTTTACTGACTGCTCTTCCATCTTCAAAACCGTCTTTACAAAACATCCGCGTGTGGCTCTCCAGGCTGGGTTGTCTCTTGGCTTGGTGATTATTTTACTTCCCGCATTCAATTTGTCCAATGCGGCAGCGGAAATCACGGTCCTTTCCAACGACCGTGGGGTTCTTCAAGGTTCCATCTTATCCCCTCACCTCTCTTGCCTCCATACTGATAAGCTAGTATTTCCAAACGACTCTCTATTGATTGAGCTTGCTGACGATGTGGTTGTAAGCCACACTCTAAAAGGTCAGACACATCTCCAGTCTCAGAAGTATGGTCTTGAGCATCTCTCAATATGATCGCAGGAAAATGGACTGGTGCGACTGTGGCATTCTCCTAGTTCTAAATACTTAGACACCCTTCCCTTCAAGGTATCTCCTTACGTATACCTTGAAATTACTTTATCATCAAGTCTCTCATTTCTCCTACATATTTTGTCTCTTTTCACTATATTTCGTAAAATTCTTCATTATATTTGTTGTTTACGTTCCAACCACACATTTCAACCCTTAATCCGGTGATTCATAGAGGTCTACATTTTTACTCTTATTTTTTATCGTCCTCCTGTAATTTTTTCTGCTTTTCTCAAATAGATCTGTTACTTTTAAAGCGCGTCCTCCGAATGCTCTCTTCTTATTTCGTATTTCATCTTAGTCGATTTTATCCTACAACAACATTTACAAACGGTCAAACAATTGGATAGTTGAATTCTGGATGGCGTTGCCCATTCCGTGCTTCTGTACTAATTTCTGTGAAGTCTTCCCGCCCCATGCGCCCTGGCTTTCGACTTATCCCATATCAGCCTTCTGTATTGCCTTTCCTGGTGCGCTATCATACGTGTGAAGAGATAGAAATGCAGAAGCTTAGACTAGAACTGTACCAGTAATACTCCTTCCTTTTGTGCTACACATTTTGACTTTTGAGTAATATATTAAATTATTTACGGCCCATAGTGAATGGACCCCATTATTGCTGAAACTTGTGGATTTATAATACGACACTAAGGAGTTGTAGTAAACGCATATCCTTAGAAAATTACCAACTGAATTGAACACGCCTATAAATCTTGTAAAATATCACTGATTTTCCTAACTTTTATCAGTAATTTTGTTACGTAGAATTGTTATTCGAAATAAAATCTATCTGCTGAAAACAGGTTGGAAGTTAAAACAGGCGTAAACAGAAAAATTTGATGGCGCCAATACATTTTGCGTCGGCATAGCAGCTGCCACCAGTCGCTACGCAACATTGATATCGAATTACGTCAGGTTGATTTTGATCAGGAAATCAGTGTAGAAACAACAGAGTCATAGTGTGATTAAAAAACAGCCTACTAGCGAAACGAAAACTTAAAAAACGACGAAAGAAAAACAAGTGGACGCTAAGATGTCGTCAGTATATTTTGGCCTCCTTAATTCATGCTGTTTACGTTCGTTTTATCTTCATACGTGAGCCTAAATGCCTAATGAGAAGGCATCAATTGTTTGCATCACTAGACGTAAGCGTATACTTTCACGCAGACCGGAGGCAGCCATCAGGCGTCAGATAATTAAACCAAAATACCCACTGACGCGGCAAGAAACGTCTAAAGTAGTTTATCGGATCTGTTGCAGTTGGGAACAAAGCAGCTTCGTCGAAGAAACTGGAGGAATGCTCCAAAGATGAATGGCTGAACAGGAGACAGCAGTGTTGAGAAACGACTCCAGTTCTGAAATTGTGACTTATTCGACGAGATCCGGCAAAACATTAAAATTACACGAGGCCCAAATTCTCGCTAGAGGTGGCAACCGCGTGAGCCGTAAGCTGCCGGATTGATGGTTCAATAGCCCGCAGTCTATTAAACAGCTCAACGGCCTTACCCTTCCATACTCGGTGCTGAGACTTCGCCTAGGCGGATTAATTGTCCACACAAGGAGAGAACAGGTGAACACTGCCCCCAACGCCAGGATCAGGGGGAGCAGATCGTCGAGCCCTCATCACGCCAACATCCAACACTCGTGATGAAATTTCAGCAATTAACGATGCGAATGTCTGCCATCAAGCATTCATCACACCACGTGCAACAGTACCTGATGAAGGGGATGGAGCCGTGAATATTCATAGGTATGCGGTAGCATGGCGACTGCATCCTATAATTACTGAAGCCCTCTGCGCATGAACCACCTGTATCTGCTATTGCCTCTGATGATGAGTTACAACAGGAATCCGTAACGCCAGCCAAATAAAGATCTCGTCCTAACGATCGTGTCTCCCTCTTCCCACTTATCTTCGCTTCTATCAGCAATTCACTCAATTTTCCGTCTTCTTGATAGGTCGTTCATCGCTGCGCGGCAGCCTGGTTAGTCTCCAGATGCAAGTCCTAAGATAAAACAGAACTGTCTGTCTGCATAAGTATACGGTAAGGTGTCTTATTAAGGGCTACATGGTACAGGATATGGTAGATTGCAACATGTACCGCGTGCAAGTGGTGCCTGCCCTGCACGGTCCTTAGCCGACAACCAATCATCACCTGTGGCTTTCGAGGTTAGGCTCACCCTAGCAGCACACGCCGATAACGGCCTTTATCAACTGGCGAAAGTAAATTAGAGTATCCAGTGTTGGGTGTCCACATATTTAGTTAGTCTGCTCCGCTTCCCATTCCGCTCTTCCTTCCCACCCGGAAAGAATCTTACGGCGAAATGGAAATAAAATCCTGCCTATGGCGCACGTTAGTAAAATGAAGTCGCTACCAGTAGTGGAGTTCGGCAGCCGATGCGAATGTCTGAGCAGCTGCACTTCTTCCAGCTTGCGGGGAAGGGGCTATAGACTGGGCCCTTTTAGCGGGCAGCCATCATAATCGGTCTGGCGTCCTTGTTCAAGACCTCGCCGCCTCAAGATCATGCGCTGTTTTACAGTAAGACGTTCCAGACGCGCTGACCTGAAGTCACACGACCAACAGCTCGGGCATACCTGCGTCCGCACAGCCGCAGCTGCCCATGCGGTCACTCGAACGCACCTCCTCCCCCCCGCAACCGCAACCTTATCCACTGGGACACCACCCCTCGGCAAATGCAACACACACTGAGTGGACACCACTTGAGCTTGGCCCACGAGCTTACAAAAGCGGTTGTCGCCACTATCTCAAGGACCCTCAGGCATGACTGGGCGCAGTCATCACCAGCCCTGGCTTTGACAGTGGCCGCTGCCGCCTGAGTGGACTACTCCGGTTCTGTGCGCAATAAACCACTCACTCGGGTGCCTTTCGTCTTATCCTTCCAACATGGGGTGTGACTTGATAAGTGTAGCTCACTGACTATACACATTCTCACTGCTGTGTCGCTACACTCCAAACAAATACTGAGAGCGCATCCTCTGTTCGCGGACCGTGACTCGCACATGTACAATTCACGATCTTAACAATACAATAAACACCAACACTCCTCTCTATCCTCCGGCTTTACCAGTAGGTGGTCTAACTCATGAAATGTCATGGTCGAACTTTGGACGAGAAATGTAACATGCATCATAAGATTTAGTAATCATTTTGTTCAACAGTGGTTAGTTTTACCACACCGAGGTCAAATATGCGTAAACAGATATATATTGAGTACGCGCGACATGCTGACATTTTTCTGCGTCACGCCGTGCGATAAAGATGTCAATCTAATGTTCTTCAACAGCCGACTATGAGAGGATACAGAAATTAGCCAAAGGTGGGTTATCGCATGCGCCCTTAACAAGTATTTTTACTATAAGTAAGGTTACTCTGTGGCGAAAACTTAATGATAGAACCGTAAAAAACAGAAGCAGAGTGGAAGAAAACGGTGCCCAAGTAAGCAAGACGACGATTTTATTCGGCGTACACAAAAAGTATCGTTATATGCTTACTAAGACCATTCACAGGGCATATCTGCCGATGTCCTATCTGGATATAATTAGGAAAGGATGCGGGAGTTTGAACTTCATCAAAAAAGCCATGATCAAGCCGTTTTTAAGTATAAAACATATTAAAGAAAATTTTCTATTTGCTAAGAAATATATTGGTTAACGGCCCATACTCTGGAAGAGCATTCACATCTGTGATGTGGTCTCCTTCGTAGGCAAGCCAATGAAGTCGACATAGATGGTCATATGAGGAAAAAACTATTCAAAAGAGCACACTGCGCCGTGGACAACATTCAAGAATTGTCGGCGGTTAATGGTTAGGATGGCGATTAAATTCTGAGAGAGATCAGTCTGGCGGTCGACTACGAACACCAACAACAGCAAGGTGTTTGTCACCATTGTGAGATCCGTTTTCGATTACAACGATATCCACCGACGCCGACTGGATACCTGACAATCGTTCCAAAGACGTATGAATCTAATAACGCAATTAACCGTAATCTGACTTTTTAGAAAGGATTCAGCCTTTCCGCATGTCGATTTTCATTCCTGCCTACAGTCCATATCTCAATCCCATCAAAAATCTTTTGCATTTATCAAAAGACACTGGCATGACATTTCATGAGTTATCCCACTTACTGTATTTCAGGCTCTGCTAAAGGGACTCCTAACCCGCTGGCAGCCTGTAATGTTCGTCATCTTCCAGATATTCCGCGGAGCAAGAGGCCGGTAAAGAGGAAAACGTTGGTCGCGCATGAACTGGCGTTCTGCATATTTGCCATCACTGCTCTCAGCAAGACCTGGTTCACCGAGCAGAATTGACTCAAGGAGGTGGGTGCCAGCTACATCTTGTCATAGAACGGTCACCTAAAGTCAGTGCAACTCAACGCTATCGTCGCCTTTGTTGTCAACACTAATTTGTGAAACAACTACTCTGTATGCCGCAGGACAATAACGACCGTCTCATAACCCTACGCCACCTTCGTCGGCGTCTGCATCTCCCAGCTCCAACGAGGTACGGGACAAATCCTACGAAGACCTACAACCCCTCCTGGGTGCTGTGCGGAAGGCGCACAAGCCGACTGTACTTGGTGTCACTAGTACCCACGTCAGGACAGATCACGCCGCCTGGGCGGCAGTGCTGCGTCCCAAGGGAATCGACAGCTGCAATGATAATGGTCACATTCTTCTGTAGACCTTCACTAAACATCGCTGTGTCCAGACAAACACGTTTTTCAGTTGGGTTGCAGGATATCATACAGCAGCAGAGGTACTAGCCAAAAACCCCGGCAGGTGTTTCGCCAATATTCTGACGCTGCGTGGCGCAGCTGCGAGATTTTCGGTTGATCAGCGGGTCCTACAGCATTCCTCATGTGCCTCCTGGTAGATACACCAGTTTCGAAATTATTAATTTTTAATTTTCTCTGAAATTAACTGCTAAACTACAAAACAATACTTCCGCCAGTTGACCACTCCGAAAGCTAAGATGATCGAACCCGTAGGCCGGCATGAGTCTTCGTTGGCATGCTCAAACCTTAGCAGCGAAATTTTCGAATTTCCATTTATTGAGAGGGGAATCGATGGACTTAAATGTGGCTCGCCGAACCGTGAAACTCTCATATTTCACGGAGAGCAGCACAAGTTCATGCGCGGTTTATCGTAGCACTTAACTGTCATTAGACAGTACACTGTGACTAGGCCACAACGCGTATTGCCTCCGGAATGTAGTTTATTGAGAAAAAATGTTATAAGGGAGGCTAGTAGGACAAAAAGACAGATAGACAGCAAAATGCAAATTGTCAAGGATACGCCCAGGCAAGCGGACGTCCTTTTGCAATCAGGTAATCAACAGAAGCAATTAAGGAGTTAACGGGCAAAGTAAGGACAGACAGACGTTTACTGAACAAACCATTCGGGAGAAAAGAATGTGCTCATCGATGTGGACCGCTGATTGATGACGCTAATTAGAACGACGACGCCAGGAGAAAAAGGCATATTGGGGTTGGGTGGGGGAGAAAAGGGACTTAAGAATCAAACACGAAGCATATCTAAGTGTTCAAGTAGCATGGTGTGTAGTCTGTGCTCAGTGTATCATACCATAGATGGGTTTTTATTCCTTAAAAGGTGGGTCATTTTTAATGGTCGTAACGATGGTTAATCCGTTGCCGCCGAGAGATTAGCTTCGCTATTGACATAATGACAATCGCCGATTATGTCGGCGTTCTTGACGGCCAAAAGGTTAGTCCACTGACTTACTGCGTCAGAGGAGAAGGTAGGGTAGGAGAGGGGGGGAGAGATGGGATGGCGCCACAAAAATGGCTGCTCAAGAAAGAAGGGGGGACTTTGCCCCGCTAAAAATAAACTATATCTGTAAAAAAGGCAATCGGCACACTGAAGAACGTCGCCCACTTACGTCAGTCATGGAACAAGATGACAGAAATCTTGGTGTTCAATTTCGGGATACCTCAGACGTCATGCATTCCACTTGCGCACCTAACGCATTACCTGAGAAGCTTATTTCCAAATAGAATATATTTATGAGAAAATTTATCAAGAACGGGTCTATAAATATGATCGACAATCAGCATTAACATATTTTTGGGTAGACTGCCAGACCAGGATTGGGCAAACTTGCGTGTAAACCACCAGAGGGCAATAGTCTCTGCGGAAACGTTTTTCTAAAATAAACTTTACCCGCCTGAAATTTTTTTATTCCTGCTTCCTGTTGATCAAGCGGAGCTGAGTGTGAACAAGCACGTTATTTTCAAAAAGGCAAATGGAAATTTTTTTATTTTTTAGAAAAATCTTTTTTAAAAGTTTATGCGATTTAATCCTTTAAAACGCGTCATAAACGTCTACGAACTACTCTTCTTTAAATGCTTATATTGTCCTGAAACATGTAAATAGTTCATAAGCAATAACAAAAAATGCCGCATTTGGCGATCATTTCAGTCCTATTGAGCAGAGTTAGACATTTTCGTGCCGCCCGGATCCACTAGTTTGCATTTTGAGAACGAAACGGGCAGCGCCTTAGCAGGTTGAGCAATAGTTAGGGAACCTACAGTGAGTGACCGATCGCACGAAATTTTGGCTTAAATGCTGAAATAAGTTTTCGATTAGAACGGGTAATTTGGGCGCGGTGGTAATAACGAATATCTTTCGGCGTAATCGTGTAATATTCAGGATGACAGTTTTTGAAAGCACTGCTTTTCAATCACCTGTAGAAACTATACTCAGGATAAAAATGACTAATTAGGTAGCATGCATGTTCCCCGTTGATTTTCGATGATCTTTCAAGTTCAAATATATTTTATAGAAACCACGAACATAAATATGCTTCCTTTAAGTAGTTTGACAGAGAATCACGTCTCGTCTATTATTAAAGACGCTGTGTGAAATATTTTGAAAAGCATAGAAATATATGTGGTGTTCCCTACAAGGAACGGATGAAACTTGTCGCTGCAAACAATGCTGAGGCTGCAAATTATTCGGCAATTTGAAAACTTTTTAAAACCTAATTATTCTCCAACTTTGAATGTAAAAGATAAAGAAAAACTGATTCTCTGTCAAAGTCCTGAAGGATGGCATGTTTTAATTTGTGATTTCAATAAAATGTATTTGAATTTGCAAGTCCATCGAAAATCAATGTGAAAAATACATGCTGCTTAAATAGTCATTTGCTTACTAAATGTTGTTTCCACAGGGGATTAAAAACAGTGTATTCTAGACGTAACATCCTGCCAAGTCCGATGTATTGTAGGATTATGCCACTAGCAATTGATTATTATAACCGCGCTCAAGTCCTTCTTCCTAATCGAAAACGTATTTTAGAATTTCAGCCAACATTTCAAGAGATCGATCACTCAGTGTATATGGCCACTCCGCTGAGTCGAAGAGTAAGCGGATATAAATATTATCCACATCGGTCTGGAAAGGGCACATATGGGCCAAATGTCCCGTTTTGCTCTCGTTTAAGACCTTCATCACCCAAATACCCAGGCATTTCCTTAATCAAAAGGGTAAGTTGATAGAGGAGACTTTGTAATTAAAACACAGTGAGTGGCCGTTCCCATAAAATTTCGGCGAAATTCTGAAATCCGCTGTCAACTAAGAAGGTTGTAACTTGATTATCATGCCGCATGATCCCTCAATATTTCGGACTTGTCTCTATGTTTGCTTTTGAATGCACTTCTTTACAACCTCCTGTAGAAACGACACCTGCTAAAAAATAACTGCTTAATTAACATGCACTTTAGACAGAGGTAGTTATGTAACCCTAACTGAAGCAACCAAACCCCAGTCACCTGCAATACAGGACGGGTAATAGTGTGGGTTTTTACAGGTGGGGCCGGGGAATGCACAGGAGATGAGGTCGGGTAATTGTATGTAGAAGAACAGCTATTGGGAATGCGCGGTTGTACTTTGAGTGTTTGAGAAATAATTTCCCTAACTCCTAACCCTAACCACTTACCTTAACCCCTAGCCCTAACTTTAACCCTAGCATCTAATCCTAACTCCTAACCATGACCCCTAACCCTAACCCCTAACTGTAACCCCTTACGTAAACCCCAACTGTATTGTATTATGGTGGGGCTACATAATTACATCTTACATGTAGGCATTATCGTCTCCATCCATAAGTTGATCTGAAGGTTTTAATAAACAGAAACCGCGCAGCCAAACTTTTGGACAATTGATTGAGGACACTGTAAATTTCGAAATGACATTTCAAGAGCACAAAAAACTCCTCAAAACCCACCGCTGATAAAATGTAAAACCTAGTTTTGTTGACAACGATTCCGATGTTACTCGAAACGGGCTTTTATTTTATTTGTGAATTTCTCTTCCATTTTCCCAGTTATCGACTCTCCTTCCGGTAAGTGAAATGATGAAAACTTGCATATTCCTGACATATGATAAATGGGCTTTTCCATGAATTGTCGATCAAAATTGCCAAATGCGTCTTCGTTTCAAAAATATCAACTGAGTAATGTTTTAGACCTTTTTATCCTGCAGCATAATTCTATAATAATTCGGTGAGCACACGATGCCGGCCTCTGAACGAACTTCTTTCCAGCTGCATCCAAAAACTATACTCTGTAAAAATGGCTACTGAAGTAGCATGCATTTTTCTCATTGATTTTCGATCCCCTTAACTATTCAATTATTTTTTCGTGGGAGAAGTGCATAAAAAGTATTCATTCTTTTGCTCATTCGGTAAAAATTCTCGTCTTATTCCAAGTTTATAATCAAGGAAAGTGTATATTGTGCATGTTCGCGAAATTGTGCGAAATTCTGTTTGCCATATTCAGCCATATCTCGAGTAATCGCATGAATTGTTTGAGACACCCTTTGAAAACGTATTATTAAAGACCGTCCGTTTCGCCAATTTCTGCCATTTTGTTGCAATAATTACTTCAAAATAACTACATACGAAATTTAATAAAGTGATCCGCTAAATGGCATTGTACTTAAGGTGTTTTATTCGCTTGGTTGTTTGCTTTGGCGGGTTTTCCTACAGCTACTGACCGTATTCGCTCATTTGACGCAGATTTTTGATTTTTCAACATTTCCCGTGTAGTTTAGCAGTTGTTACTTCCTACCATCGTAAGTGTTCTTTATTAATTTTGTTTTTATTTTGTCTGAAGGTCGTTTCTAGTTATTGAGAGACTTTCTCCATACACATATGCCTATTTTCGATTGGTTAGTCTGGGTTATTTTGCGCTCTTGGCATTAGTTAAGATGAAGAGTGTTTACAGAGTGTCCCTTATTGCAAACGTCTTTACATAGTAGTCTACTGGTAGCTTGAAGCAACCACCAAGTGGAAGCGTGACAGAAAATATGACCCACTGCTCTGCGTAATGAGCAATTTGAAGATCAGGCAACTTTTAATGCTTAAATATACTTGTCCGTGTGCTTAACTTTTCCATGTCCACTCCCAGGGTCTGTCGGCGTAGACTACGTCATTTTAATATTTTACGAATATCCAGCGGCCTGTGATGTACGAATTCTTCAGAAAATATACATGAACTACTCCTTAAAGGCAGAGGCACCCAACGTAAAACCCAACCTGTGTTTCGAAAACAGCCTGAATAATTGAACATTTTGGTGTGTCGGTAGCCTCCCGTTCCAAGTAGAAAAAGTTGGCAAGATGTAAAACCCTAAAAATAGTTTTGCGTAAGCTTAACCGCCTGTGCATCATATCAAAAA